CGTCGATTCCCTTCATTAAGAATGGTCTAGATAGTATGTATTCGTAATCTCAATGATTATACTTTAGCAATTACTGAGAAATGCTAATATCTCAATGCATTCTCGGCGTGGGAAGTTCTCTCTCTCTCTCTCTCTCTCTCTCTCTCTCTCTCTAGTACATTAATATCACTATTTTTTCTTACCAATGAAATATTTCTAAATATAATTTCCCCGTCACTATTTAAGACAATTTAATAATAACAAACCCCATATATCAACATATTCAGAATATCACAAAAATTACCAAATTAAGATATACATTGTAGTATATATATGTCTCCATTTTTTTTTATATTTCATTTCTTATTTCTTTCAAAAATATAAAGTATAAAATATTCGTACCTAAGCAATAGTTTCTTTTGATTTGCAGCTGGCGAAGACCTTCTTATACATGTAGTCATATATACTGTCCAGGCATTAGGAAACATTATACCTCTACTGATTTTTTCCTATATAAAAGTAAGGAAGTAAAATGTGAATAATTCCCTAGAAATCTCAATGAATGGACTAATTCCCCGTGCGTTAGTTAAATGAGCTAATCCCTGCTTCGGAAGCTAATTCCCCGGTTATCCGTAATCCTCTAGATTTTACTTTTGTATCGGTATAATATGTTGATGGACTAATTCCCCGTGCGTTAGTCTTGAAGCTAATTCCCCGCCATACATTCGTAATCCTCTATTTGTATCGGTATAATAAAACAGTTAAAAAGTATATCATTGAGGGAGTTAGCAAGATTCCAGTTCCCCAAGACCAGGACTATTTCCCGAAGCGCAGCGCGCCGAGGGAAATAGTCCTGGTCTTGGGGAACTGGAATCTTGCTAACTCCCTCAATGATATACTTTAACTGTATACTAACAATCATCAACCAAATACCGATATGTTGCGAATATTCTCTTTTTATGCCCCTGTAAATGAAGTTTCGCGGGTATATAGTTTTTGTCGTGTCCCTCCGTCTGTCTGTCTGTTTGTCCGCAAAAACTTTAACCTTGCCCATTACTTTTGATTTATTGGAGTTATGACATTCATATTTCACATGTGTATTCCTTGTGACAAGACCTTTCTTTGGGTACCACCAAATTTGACCTTTTGACCTTGACCTTGGAGTTTGACCCACTTTTATACAAAAATTTTGAACTTTTACTTTGGCCATTTCTTTTGAACAGTAGATACCAGGACATTTATACTTACCATATGTATTTCTTGTGCAAAGACCTTTCATTGGATACCAACAACTTTGACCTTTTGACCTTGACCTTGGAGTTTTCCGTACTTATGAAAAAACATTAACCTTGGCTATAACTTTTGAACGGTTAGTGCTAGGGCTTTCATACTTCATATATGTAATTCTTGTGAGAAGACACTTTATTGGATTTCAAGAACCTTGTTCCTTTGACCTTGACCTTGGAGTTTGACCTACTTTAAAAATACAACCTTTACTATAATTTTTGAAGGGTTAGGACTAGGGCTTTCATGCTTCAAATATGTAATCTTTGTGAGAAGACCTTTCATTGCATACCAACAAATTTGACCCTTTGACCTTGACCTTGGAGTTTGACCTATCTTTTACAAACTTTAACCTTGGCCCAAACTTTTGAACAGTAGGGGCTAGAGCTTTCATATTTCACATATTTAATAATTGTGACAAGACCTTTCATTGGATATCAAGAATCTTGACCCCTTTCACCTTGACCTTGGAGTTTGACCTACCTTTTACAAACTTAAACTAGGCCATAACTTTTGAACGGTAAGGGCCAGCAATTTCATACTTCCCATATGTAATCTTTGAGACATGGCCTTTCTTTAGAAACCAACAACCTTGACCCTTTGACCTTGACCTCGGAGTTTGTCCTACCTTTAAAATGTTAACCTTGGTCATAATCCTTGAACAGGTGGTGCTAGGGTTTTATGTTTCACATTTGTAATTCTTCTGAAAAGGTCTTACTTTACGTACCAAACATATTTGATCTGCATTTAAGAAAGCTTAACCTTCGCTATGTTGCCATACGGGGGCATCAGTGTTTCACAAACACATCTTGTTTTTCTCAAAACCGTTGTTCAAAATACAATAGTTACTACATACCTGCAATAATGTACCCTCTCCGATTTTTTTATTCTGATGTTTTCTGGAGAGCCCCCCCCCCCCCTCAAAAAAAAGGTGGGAGAGCTACATTATTGCAGCTAGTTACTACAGGAAGAACGTATAAATTTACTACTGCGTCAACAGTTAAAGACGTTGATCTGTTTATGAAATTTAATTAATTAATATGAAGTTGTAATCAGGGACGTGTATATTATTTTTTCTTTTGCAATAAAAGAATCTCCATTATTCGCGTAATTCCAATAAAAGAATCTAATTAAGGAATTTATGTCTCCGCTTAATCAAGGACAAAAAACTGGGTGGAGGCCCTTAAAATTGCAGTTTGAAAAGGAAATGAATGATTAGCCTTGACCGTTCCTTTTTTTTGTGCTTCAAAATCAATAGAGACGATATTTCTTAATAAGAGTCATGACCTCTTTTTTAAACAAAGTTTTTAGTTTAAACTTTATTTCATCTATATTAGGCATCATATATACACAGTAGATAATACATACAGGATTCGGAAACAAGTAACAACTTATATTAATCCGTTTCCTCGACACTAAAGTTTTTTAAAGTGAACGAAGTTATCATCAACAATGTATAATCACCTTCTATTTTAAAAGCTTACAGAAAGCTATAAATATCGTTATGAAACCATTTTATACAAAAAAAGAATTTTTGACAACAATATTTGACCAAAAATCAAAAAAGGTCTCAAAAGAAGTAGCTGCAGATCTGTAGCTCCCCGGAAAAAAATATATTGGCAGACCCGTCTGTCAATATATTTTTTTCCGGGAGCTACAGATCTGCAGCTAAAAATTAGCCTTATAAAATGTTACAATGTTTGAATTGATTAGAGATGGTATTTTATAATAAAATAGATTTCAGTTTTAATATTTCAATTTATATCGAATGATCGATAACTCTAGCAGCATAAACATTACATGACTAAAGAATTCTGATTTCTTAGCAGTGGGTATGTATATAGTTTTCCCGTGTTTTCTTTCATACATATTTATTTTAAAAAAATATTATGATGACATACCTTACATATATATCAAAGTTGAACCTTTAATAACGAATCTTTTTGACTCTTCAGATGAACTCCACGATTGAACAACGAACATGGTTGTTGCTTCATCTTGACATAGAGTCTGACACAATACATAAAAATGTGCAAACACACATAATGCTGTTTATATTTATTCCTTAGCCTTGGATGTTGTTTATTAAAAACAAACAAACAAACAAACAAAAAATTCAAATAGATTAAATAAAATACAAAAATTAGTTTTCTTTGAGAGGATTTTAAGAATCAATGCCTCCCTAAGGTTAAATTACTTTAACTTTCACGAATAGGACCCTTAAAATGTAAAATTTTAAAGTAGCAATTTTGACGTCACAGTGGGTGTGTTTTTCTTGGAAAATCAAGATTTTTTCATCATGCCTTGCAGAAAAAAATACCCTTTTAATTTTAATACGAATACATATTTTAAAGAATTGAGTTACATGTATCATATTTTGTTGTCCCTTTATACAAAAATTCATAATTTAAATTGACGGGCTCGATCCCGGCTTGAAGAAAAAAATAGAAAACATAGGAGTCGGAAGCAAATTTTAAAGAGGGGGGGGTGAAAGTGGGAGGCTAAAAGAACAAAAACATTTGGGGACTAAACCAATTTTCAATATGTCTATCTCTGCAAAAAAAAAAAAGGGGCGGTTAAGCCCCCCAACCCCCTCCCGCGGTCCCGACGACTAAGAGCGACTGCACTGAATATTATCAAACAAAAATATCTGCAAAGTGCAGACACTAACACAAACCACAATAAATGAACAAAATTTAATACTGATTAAAAGCATTTAAGAGCATATTGGCACAATTCGTAGATTATGCTAGGAAAGGGGAGGTCACTGTGATATTACTATTATATTGATGTTCTAGACAACATGACAACTGTTTTAAGAGCTGATAAATTCTTAACCGTATATTATAAATGTTTCTGTCAAGTTAAAACACCTCAAGTTTTTTCGGGAAAGGGTGTCCGAACTACTGACGGGCGCCTGACGATAGATTCATCATTGTGACAAACCCCCCCCCCCCCCCCCTCATTAGACTTAATAAAAATAAATTCCGATATCTGATGTCATTGTTCAATTTTGTTAAGTTTAGAGAGTGGCACCCTACTGTATATATAAGCATACAAGATAAGTATTAATTGTCGTCTAATAGAAACGATTCAGAAGGTTTAGTGGAGGGGGGAGGCTTCAGCTGGGGTACGCAGTCCTTTCGTCACTGAGGTGAAATTGGTCCATTTCCGCGCCATTGTCGCTCGCATCATTGATTCCTCCAATGCATTGTCAATTTTATACGAAATTTTACCCCCATTTTGTAAGAGAATGACCTAATAAAAGTTAATTTTGGAATTCTTCCTAGCCTTAAGGATCATTGATAAGCAGTTGAGATTATTTAGAAACTACGTTAAAAATTATGATTTTATAATGCATGCTTTTTCCCCTTTAAAAAAATTGGGAATATGAAGCACTTTTTAATGATTTTCCTTCACATATTTTTGCAAAGCATACTTTTTTTAATAAATTTATTTTTCCCCTCAAAGTGACAATAATATAGCATAAAAATGCACAAAAGTACTCTGTACACGGACTTTGCAGTGATTTATTTCCTGTGTTCAAACATGAAATATAAATATTGTAAAACTTCGATTAAAATGTGAATTTATGAATGAATGACAAAGTATTGCAAGTTTTTTCGTTGACCAGTCAATCAACTTCTGACAGCTCTGTTGATTGGTCAATCGCTTTGTGGTGCTGACCCTATTTTCCAAATAAGGAATGCGACAACAACAATAGTCCCGTCTTCAAAACATACTACGCCACAGTAGATTCGAGGAGAACTCGGGGTCAGGAAATCGTTGGCTCATTTCCCAGTCACAGTGCCAGAAGAAGACCATAATAATATCCGAAACATCATCCATGAAAACAGTGATTTAAAAGTACATCGGATAAATTTCTAATGAGGACGAAACGATCGCACAAATGGATGTGTTAGTTAGCAAAAGATGACCATGGTAAAGTATTCAGGTTTCCTCCGCGCTGATAGTGAACTTATGAGAAAGTTTATTTTGTACTTTTTGGGTGAAAGAATTCAATCATAACGTGTATCAAAGTAAATTTCTTGTTTATAACTGGGGGCGAGCAGGATATACTTTGTATTTTATCTGAAACGTTTAAATGCAGTCGGAGCACTAGGGATTATTTTTTTCAAAATGGCTGCCGAAGTTTATAAATTCGTGTTGTAACGTGCCTGTCAAAATACATATCCCGTTATTTTACCTCTTAAACTAAATATACTGACATTATAAACTAAAAAACAATAAAGTATTATCAAACTTCCATATACAACAGACGAAGTTATAGAAATGTCTTGAAATTCACTGTGTTTTTGCTACAGGGCCTCCTACATCCATTATAACAGTACACACATGGATATGGTGTTGTGGCTGCACATATCAATGCTGACTTGTGTATGGAAGCACACACTGCGCAGTTACAGACACCCTTTCATAACCTGAAGTCATTATATGACAAAAATTCTCTTTCATGAAACTGAAAGGTTTACTTTTTATGTTTTTTACACATGTTATCAGGTTATAGGATGAATGTGATAGTGCATGAGTTGCCAAATATTTCAGTACCCCCAAATATTTATCAAACATTAGGTAGTTAATTGAGGGTCATTGTGTAAGAAGAATGTCACATGAATGTGTGCAAAGTCTTCTTCATTATTATACTTAATGATACTCGTAACTCTCCATGTGTGCACTACTGCACTGAACTTTCTGAAGTTTTCTTGCCCTACAACTGGCACACACAGATCTTTATCTCCCAGTAGGGGTCTCTCTGTAATTTATCATGAATGCTAACCAGAATCTGTAATGATATATCAGGCATATTGATGTATTGATAGAGATTGCTACAAATAAAAACAGAGGAATCTCTTTCCTGCTCTGTTTGGAGGTTTTATCCATAAATAACATAAATCTACATGTATTTTGTTCGACATGCCAGATGTTTGATTTTCTATGAGTTAGGGAGTAGACTGTACTTTTTTATGACAACACAATGTAATTTTTTGCCAATTTCTTGGAGAGAAAGTACCATGTTAAATATTCAGGAATAAGGGTTAATTGTGGACAGATTTTTGTATTATTTTTATCATGACAAGAGCACAAGGTGGGCGTGACCAGTCAGCAGGGGATGCTCACTCTTCCATGGCACCTTATCCCTTCTCTGATGTTTTAGAGGTCCGGGTTTACTCTGCTCCTGATTTGTATTGTTTGAATGGACTTTTGGACTTGAATACTGTTGGTTATCTGCATATATATTTCATACACCAGAATCACCCTGCTCTCTCATTCACATGGAATGTATTCAGTACATGCTAGAATTTTTTTTAAGTCTCCCAAACCACATAAAGTAACAGGTTTATTTAATCAAATTTAGGATTCATTCTTAACTATTTCAGAGAAAAGAAGTGACTAGGGTTGTTTATGCTGGTTATTTAGCTCTTATCAGAATGATTTTGGAAATAAGATTTTGTTCTAACAAATATCACCCTGTTGTCCCTAGAATGCATATTAATAGGTTTCAACTGATTTCATGCTCTAGTCCTACTACATTACTGAAGTTATCATAAACTGTAAACACTGAATGAGATAATTTACTTGATAAGTCCTAACTTTAAACAGAGATCCATGCAGAAAAGATTAGTGTCATCAACTCTTTTTTTCAAGCCTAACCTTAAATTGACATTGATTGGAGACTTTAAATCAAAATTGTGGTAGAGAGAAATCCTCAAATACACCCCCTCCCCCTTAAAAAAGGTTGAGCTGCCATGGACATATCTTTGAAAAATCTGATTGTTTTGGCAGTAAGAATTGAAAACTTTTAATGCCTGTCTTCTGAAGAAAACAATGATGATATCCAATTGAAAAATTCTGCAATGTTACTGTAAAGGCACACAGTACATGTATTAGCATGTATATATACTAGCAAACTTGAAGTTGCTTGAACGGTGTTAAATTATCATAACAGCTGAAATAGTAATGTTTACACTCTTAAATAATGAAACTAACAAGGGAATTTGTCTTTTGTAAAAGATATTAAATTTTACATTTAATATTTTAAAGCAAAACATTGCTGAACAAATGTTTCAATCCTCAAAGAGTCAGAAGTAGACTTTTATTTAAGAAACCTTAGTATAGTATACATTGTGTTCAAATAATCAGCTGTCTAAAAGTACTGTATGGAAAATGGTATTTCACTATAAACTCACACAACTACAGTAGCTGTAACAGCAAGTGCCTGTCAATGCAAAACTCATATTTTGCAAAATTTGGGTCACAATTACAATACATTTATGAAATTCTGCTTGAAGATGGTTCAAGTAATCTTAATTATAAAAAAAAAAATAAATCCTTTGATGGAATGATTGTGGATGTTCTTTGGCATCAATTTAGTCATTCATGCATTTTCACATCATAAGAGAATTGACGCTTATTTATTTATTTACATGCCATTACAGTGAAAGTCATAACTCATTACCTGAATTGATTTCTGGTAAGTGAATTAGTCTTTCATTATAATATATCTATGTCTATTTTGACTTTACAGGATGAGTTTCACCCCTTCATCGAGGCTCTGCTGCCTCATGTGAAGGCTTTCTCCTACACATGGTTTAATCTACAGGCAGCCAAACGCAAATACTACAAAAAACATGAGAAACGAATGTCAATGGAGGAAGAGAGGAGAGTCAAGGAGGAATTACAGGTAACCTGAATGGAGTGATCAAAATTCAAATACACAGGGGACATACTGTATACAGGGAAATTTTTGCCACGTTTTATTTTCGACCTTTCGCCCTTGATTAGGGCGAAAATAACCCTGTATACAGTGTGGTGCTAGAGAAGTTCTGGGTTTAGTTAAAAGTCATAAAATGGTTTAAGAAAATGCTAAAGATCTAGTTACCCCGGTACTTGTACTTGATATCATGTTTTACTATTGCACCCACTTGTACAAACAAATGTATTGCACATGTCTTTGAGTTTATTTCTGATGTTTCAAAACAGGTCTCACATTTTGCATCACATATTTAAATTGCACATACATCTTTATTTATATACTGGTTAACGAGATTTAAAACAAAAATTGTGGGATTTTCACTTTGATTATTTTGAAAAATATTAAGGTCTTAGTCTCTATAAACATCAGGCAATTCAGCAAGGCAAGCAATCTCTTTGAAGTCAACCTCATGTTTATAAGTGAACCCCAAGGGTTAACTTTTCCTTCTGCACACACTCTTATCAACATGTGTAACTTTTCCATAAACCCAGATTGGTCTCAAAAATTGTAAAACATGAGTATTTGCAGAGTGGAATCTCAGGTGGTTAATTGACAAAATTCAGTTGGTAAAATTAAGAAAACACAATATTTTTTAAAACATGAACCAAAGGAAGACCAAGTTAACTTGTACAGTTAACAAGTTAACTTGTACAGTTAACAACAAATAGCAAATCTGAAAGGAAGAAATGCATATTTACAATATCTACAGTATTTTGCAAAATCTTGCTCTCTGTGTTGATGAAGTAATTCAGGGTCTTGTGTCTTTTTTCAGAATGAAAAACCAGAAATCAAACAGAAATGGGCTTCTCGATTGTTGGCAAAATTACGGAAAGATATTACTCAGGAATGTCGTGAGGACTTTGTGCTAAGTGTGACTAACAAAAGACCTCCATTATGTGTGTTAAGTAACCCTGATCAGAAGGGGAAAATGCGGCGAATTGACTGCCTGCGGCAGGCGGATAAAGTGTGGCGTTTGGACCTAGTGATGGTGATTTTGTTTAAAGCTATTCCACTTGAAAGTACAGACGGAGAACGTTTGGAGAAATCCATGGACTGTGTCAATCCGATGTTGTGTGTAAACCCGCATCATATAAGCGTTTCTGTGAGAGAATTAGACCTGTACCTTGCAAATTTCATTCACAGTTATGGTAGGTTCTAAATAAAAAAAAAATTAATATTTTAAAGTTATTCGATGTGTTATTTCAAAGCTTCTTTTTCTAGAATACTGAAGTTTAAATCCTGTAGTGTAAATTTTTTTGTTCCTGAAATATTAACCTTTTTGATATATGCACTGCTAAAATTAAAGCAGGAAAAAATTTTGTATCGCACAAAGATGAAAAAAAAAATTGAATGTGGCATAATTTAGATTTTGAACAATTTTGAGATATTTGAAATTAAAATGAGAGAAGGCTATGTGTTAAAATTATTTTTTTGTTTTCTTTCAGTTCCTGACCCCCGTAATGATTATGTGGACTTACAACAAATGAACAGTGAACAAGATATCAAAGGTATGTTATTTAGACCTTTCTTTCTTGGCTTGAAGATATACTTGTTTGTTTTTTATTTATGTGAATCTGAATGGTGGGAAAACTGAAGAAGCAGGACTCTTGTAGGGTGACCCAGTATCAAATATACCTCAACTATAGACCACTCCCTAGAAATTACAAAAATGTCATATAAACTTGGACTGCAATGACATACAACAAAACAAAAATACCTGATCTTAATACATTATGACTACAAAGACTTTCTACAAAATATAAATACCTGATGACAATGGTCAGACACTAGAACTACATAGACTCTCTACAAAACATAAATACCTGACTTTGAGACTAAAAATTGAGGAAAGACTAATGTCAAAATTTCAGTTTTTATATTACTTAATGAATATCACACAAACCTTCAAATTTATATATGCAAATGTGTAATTAATATCAAGGTTCTCTATATCAAAAGTTTGACTGAAATCTACTCTCGGTTCAAGGACTTGGTGCTTGATCTTGATTGTCAAACACTAGTACTGCAAAAATGTATAAAAAACATAAATACTTAAAATTAAAAATATAAATGTGCTTAATGCTAATCTTGACATCATCATACACTAGTACTGCAATGATCCACAGTGTAATAAGACTGCAATGTCTTGTAATAAATTTTTTAATGTTTGAATGATTCATGCTCTAGAACTGAAATACATGTATAAAATCATCTGTATTTCTGAAAAGACTGCTAGCTGTATCTGAATATGTGTTGTACATGGACTCTTGAAGTAGAGCAAATATTTGGCACAGGAAAGCAAAGAACCTGACACTAGGTTCAAAAATGCTTTAGGAAGTTGGGGGGGGGTTGTTGGGAGTACATTCAGAAATACTGGTCTGCTCATTTCTTCCTGATTTCAATTGACTTACAGCAGGATAATTTTGGTAATGCTTGATATATATAAATCAGTTTGAATACGGAAACAAGATTACTGATTAGTCTTCTTCTGAAGAGGTTATCCTGTCTTCTTCAATTTTTTGAAATAAAATGTTTCACTGGGTGAGTGTGAATTTTTAAAATGGAAATTAAAAAAAACATGATGAGAGGAAGGACAGAAAATGAAAGCCAGGACTAAATAAATGAGCTTCTTTCAATAAGAAGGAAGGAATTGGATACCGGTTAATTAATCCTGGAAATGAGAGATTACTTTTGATCAGAATCCCTGAACAATACATTGTATATATGAAAGTGGATCTAGTATTTGCAATCATTTTTATTGGACAATCTAGTTTACTGTAAACTAATTTATTTGACTCACTGATCAATGAAAATGTATTGGAGAACAAAAAAAAAAAATTTCTAAAGCCTTTGAATTGGATACTGAGGTGGGGGGTTGATAAAACAAATAAAAAATGTTCAGTGAGTTTTAATAAATGATGTGCACTTAATAGCCTATAACTAGTTATGTAAGATTATCTACCATGCATAGTGTAGATTACTAGATGTCATACTGCTTTCAAAGATGTTTGTACCTAACAAATACCAGATTTGAATACCAACTTAATAACTAGTTGGTATTCAAAACTTATACTTGGTATTTAATACCAAATTACCAACTAAGTAAGTTAATACAACTAGTTAAATGCATACATACTATGAGTATGTAAACACAGTTTATGTACATTTCTAAAACAAAAGGTTTGAACTTTCCTTTTATTCCCTTGAAAAGAAGATTATGCAAATAATGTATATATTTAATCATTTGTTATGAAGGTACAATGATTTCCGCATATTTGTTTTTTCTTCTTTTTCATAATCAGTAATGTGTACTTTCACTGAATAAGAATAAATTTAAATTTGGGTTCACTGAATCTATTAGAAAGACATTCGTTACTTCCATCCCCACCCTGGTTACCCAACTACCCCTAAAACATGTATAGTAGCCTATAGATATAAGTATTACCTACATGTATATATCTAGTCCATTCCTATATGCTATATAAATTTATAAGCAGGGTTGTCCCTGATACCCAGCCCTACAACCCCTTTCAAAGTTAAGAACCAGCTAGACCCTTCTACTTTTTATGTCCATTGTCCCTTGCTATTTCAGTTCTAAGGGACAACCTTGTTTGAGAAACTTTGATACAAGTACCTATGTATAATATCATATAACTGACACTTTAGTAAGCTGCATTGTATATTTACATGAACTTGATAAGATGTGTATATATTAACATGATTAATATTTGCCTTTTACATTTCAAGTTAATCAGTCATGAACAATAAAAAAATTATCTCCTTATGTCAAGTATCAGGTACACAACTTCATGTATTCAGCATATCATACCAAAGGGTACACTGCCAGAAATCCAAGCATGCTATATTCATGTCATGACGATATTATGTCAAAGTTAATTTATAAAAAGAAATCAGGCAAAATCAGCTGTATGGTTGTACAACAGATTCTCGGTTTTCATATTAGGCCAATGATAGTGTTTATTTTATAGTATGACTTGTAAAAAAGATTGTTATACATTATATAGATATTGCAACTAAAATTAACACATATTTGTTTTTCACTGAGAAACTTTAAATTAGCTACACACAATGTAATTTCAGTTATTTCTCATTTGTTATATGGATGTATGAGAAATGTTTTTTGTCTTAACACTAATATTATGTAAAATAGACCTCAAGCAGTGGTCAAGCCATTCCTCTTAACACTAAAACAAGGATTGGCCTTGGTAATCTTTGCAGTTTTAAAGTCTACCAACAATGAATGCTCGGTTTTAAATCTTAATCAGGAATTAATGTTTTAAATTTAATCAAACTCGGAGGAGAAATACATGTCAAGGGTACAATACAGTGCATTCAGGGTTGTAGGAAAAGATAAAAATTATGCTTGACCTTGATAACATTTTAAATCATTGAATTGAATATCCTATAGTTTATAAATATTCTTTGTCTGGTATTAAATATTAGTAATAATAAATCTACCCAAATGTTAATTTGTCTGAAACTGCAAACTAAGAATTTGTCATGATTTTGTGGCAGTATTATTTGCTGGTTTACTAATTGCTAAGTTTGACCTGGCTTTGTGTATTTGTAGATATACATCATACTGTACAACACCTAAAAAAAATATCAGCTCTCATTATTTATGTTACCCCTTTGGGAAATTAAATGTGAATGTTATGTATACAAAGTACAGATAATGAACTCCTCTTATAATTAATAGAAAATAATCGTTATGTTGTGACGGATGTTGCTTTGTTATTTGTGTCATCACCGAATATCTGTTACAGATTATTAGTAACACATAAATATATAATTCATACACTCAGAAACCCAATATGTGCATTCACTAAGCAGAATATTTAACATATATTTTCCCCTTTTGAATTAGATTCAACAGTTCAACAGTAATAAACATGATTTAGATATACAGTATGCATGCTTGAAAGGTAGAGGTATATATGTAAACCTGAAAAATATGTACACAGACTTCAACAGAATGTACCGGTCAATGTAATATTTCCCTGCGAGGTGCACTGGAGTGTGTTATATGTAGGTGTATGTTACATCTGAGATTGACATGACAGGATGGGGAATGTGTACACATGTAAAACACCTGTAAGACGTCCCCCACAAGTACATGTACAAAATAAATATATCTATCCGATATCTATAGAGTCTTAGGAAGTGGCTGGAGAAAGAAGGAAAAAAAACTGCTGATAAGTGCAAAAAGAGTGGGGCAAGAACACACAGCAATGATCAATCTTTAGCGATGTTCACATGTGCAGACTGTCTGCATACATACCAGGATCAATAATTGACAGAAAGAAAATGTGTTAATAACTGCTAGATAAACTAGGGTGCAAGCAATCATGAATGACCATAATATTTGTTAAGGCTCATTCATTGATGGGTGCATAGAAAAGGGGGGTTATGTTCATATGAGCTAAGTAGTAACTGTATGTAATGATGTAATATAGAAAATGTCTTAGTAAGATATTTGGTGAATAAACTGAATACAATTGTTTAAACTTGTAAATCAACATTAGAAACTGGAAGTTGAGCTTTCTTTAACTTCTTAAACTTTATCTTTGGCAAAAATCATTAAATCAGAGAAATTTTAAAACTAATTAGATAGAATTTTATCATTTCAGTTTGCATGTGATCTGATTTAGTTAAGCAAGTTTAAGCAGTGAATATTCTGAGCATGTAATCAGTTGTATTGTTTTTCTTTGTTTCAGTGCCTGGAAATATCCATTCTGGTGTTTCTGGAAATGACAGTATCATGGCAACTGGAGTGTTTTCGGCACGAGAATTACTGAGGGTCACACGGTGTAAGATCACTTATATCTTAGTGACAAATACATTGAATTCCTCGGCACAAGTCATATTTACTTGTGTCTGATACATAGTAAATGCATGAAATAATGAGAATACATTTATTGTCTCTTTGTTTTAGGAATCGAAGGGTTTAGGAGGCAACTTGTAATGTTTATATACCGGTAATTAAGATTTTGTCTGGACCATACGTTACTCTGATGGTATTTATCTTGTTCCAGCTTCAATAATGATGCCACCTAATGGAACACACCCCATGTTACTGCCACAGAAGCAGATGGATAGTCCGGGGAGTTACTATAACTATAGTCCCCACCCCCAAGATCAGCCCATGGGCTCGGGGATGCACCCTGGTATGTCTAACGGACAGTCTGCCTTGAGTCCCTCGGGGCACCCCCACAAACGGTTGAAACGCAATACCATCAGCTCGATCTCATCAGCCGACGAAGACGCAGAGAGTGTGGGGGACGAAAATGAAAGTATGAGCAGCTATTACGGGAAATCCTCGTCAACGTTAAACAGCAGCGGGTCCTCAGGGTGGCAGGAGGGAAGTCACATGGCAGATCCAGGTAACATTTGTACATATAAACTGGGTCAGAAGTAGTGAGTTTGACTTTTTTTTTTCCTTGTCCACTTTTAGTTAGAATGCATACTGTGATATTGTTTGAATAAAGAACAATAGAGTAGAATAATATTTATTTTAGGGGTATATACATCTTGCATATGGGTTAACTTCAGTATACTTTCATAATGCATTACCAAGGTAATATAAAATTTGAAAAATTTATTAATGTAATTGAATAGCAATAAACACTAAATATGTTAAATGGTACATATATTGTTATATACTAAATATAGAGTTCCATAAAGCAAACTCATAAAATATTAGAAAAAAATGTGAGCATGATGACAGCTCAAAAACTACTTTCATTTTTAGCATGAACAGAGTTAGTGTTTTATTTATTGACAATATCACAGGGTGTCAGTGTGTCAAGATTTGCTTGACCAAACACTGAGTTCAGCTGTTATTTGATTTAGAATTCTGGGTCACTTGATGCACTGAATATATGATATATAATGAAGTTGGATATCCCCCTACCAGTGAATTATCAGTCTAGACAAAGGAAATACTATACTTAAAGAATATCTCAAAATAAACTTTTACTTGAAATGTTTATATTCATAATATAGGGAAAGAATGCATGGTGTTGTTATAGAATGTTTTTTAAAAAAATGTAGTGCAAGACATCTAGAGTTTTGATAGGTACATTGTATCGTCAATATTTTATTAATTCTGTGCTGAAATAGATGAAGCTGCTCAGCATGGCAGTAAATGAATTAGAATTCAAATTAAATGCATGTGCTTAATTTTGCCTTAATGTAAATCTTTCTTGTTGAAAACTTCACTGGTGGGGACTAGTAGGCTTCTCTTGTGTGAATTGAATATATAATGTTTTGCTTGTGCATTTTATCAAAAATTTATTTCTAGTTTTTGTTGAATGGCTAGTTGGTGTTTTGAACCTTTATGCAAAAAATACATTTATACCTTGTACTCAATCACAAACTCATCTTGAAAACTAATATTTTGCAAAATATTTGCTGTAATTAACTGATAACTTCATTACTGGTCATATTTCACAAACATGTATCATTTTCATAAAACAAATTGCCATTCACAAATTATTTATTAAGTTGTTCACTCATAAATGACTTGATAAATTGTCAGGAAGCAGAACAGGTGTCGATTGGCATTGGTACATGGAGAAAATATAATGTCCCCCTTTGGCCTAGATTTAAAAAAAAAAGAAGAAAAATATGATGGGTGTTGCTGTTGTTCTGAGTTTTGTTGTGTGTTATATCATTTATATTTAGGTGTAGCACCTAGCCCAGCCATGCATTCATCAACTCTTGTCATCCTCGCTAATAAACCAAAGATTAACGAAGCTAACAGCGGCTTTACGCCCGTAACCTCCGGCAACACACTCATCTTGCAGCATGTGCCCCAAAGCAGCAGCACCCCTCCAAGGGACGCCCCCACTCCGGGTGAGATGAAGGCCAGGCCCCCCTCCCGAACCACACCCCCTCTTAGTGCTAGTGCAGGTATTCACCTAGTAAATCTTATGATTATGGACATTTCTCTCATCTCTTCTCTCTTTGTCAATCAAAGAAAACTTGATTTCAAAACCTCAATCAATCGATGTTCATTTCATCTAATATATTTCATGTTTCACAACATTTTTCATTTCTTTATATACACAGATTCAGTGTACGCTTCCATTGTTCTTTTTCAGATATTTAAGGAAGGTTATATTTTGAAAATACATATGTAGTTAATTTCAGTAGCCAGATATTGTGCTACAGGCAATGAGCCAAGCTTAAAACTGCTCAATATGATTTTGCATTGATCTATAAACTTAAATTGTATTTTTCACAAAATAATTGTTTTCTGTTTATGTATCAATTTGCTCTCTAGGTATGTTAAAAAATATTTAGTGTTAAATTCTCTGTGAGATATCTGCACTATTATACACAAATTAATTTGTAATAAAATAAAAATTAGTTAAGTATGACAAAGAATTGCCTTAGAAACTGAGACAAAGTTGATAATTTTTTGGTGTGAGAAGATAATAGATAAATGTACCTTGTATAATGTTGGTGAACTGTTTGGTGTGTGTGTGATGTATAGTGCATGGTTGAGGATACTTGTGTGTATCTGCATGACTCAGTGTTGTGAGACTAGTGGTACTAATCCTGCCGTCTTTTAAGGCCTCCAGCCATCCCTGGTATTACCCTCAGGAGCTGCCCCGGGGCCCAGCCACCATACCATGAAGTATCAGGAACACCCAGGAGGGGACACTTTCTCTGATTTCGTTTCTTTGGTCTGCCAAGAGGCACAAAACTCTCACAGTCAGGTATAGTTGGTCATCTTTGAAGAATGTAACACATGTTAAAAAAAGTCAACTTTTCAAGAAAAAAGGATTCCGTCATGATTTGGCAAAAGAATGCCTTTATAAATTCTTTGTATTTAGAAGAGTATAAAGTAAATTAGGGAAATAGGCTACTTACTTTGAGAAATGCCTTTTCCCCAGCTATTTATTTAAGGGCTGCAAGTAGTTCACCTTGAAAGTTGAGATTAGTTTCTTCAGTACCGATGATGCAGCATATAGGTTAAAGTTTAAGAAGCAAGTCCCATGCAAGACCCAACCTGGGGATCAAACTTGAACATGGATGATGCATGACATTTTTTAAATGCTGCATTTGACCTTTTTTTATGTTAAAAAACTGAAGTTGTAAAAGTCCATTCCCTTCTTGCAAACATTTCTTGGAAGATTGAACCATTGCAATTCTTTTTGGGAAGGACAAGACCCAAGTAACTAGAACTCCTACTCAAAGTGATCTAGTGGTGAACATTACTAGAATATTTCAGAATACCAGTTTAGACTTTACCTAACAACTCAGAATAAAATTGATTAAGGTGATCTTCCTATCTTTGATTACCGGTACATGTGTTTATTATGTTTAATGTTTTGCATGTTTAGGCAAGTTCCACCACACCTCCAATGAAAAGTCCCACCAAACTGCCGCACTTTTTCTCCCCGGGTATGTTACCCCCACCACCGCCACCCCCACCCACCGTGGCGAGGCCTGTGGCAATTTTACGGACATCTGATGGACAGACTGTCATCAGCAGTGGAAGCACTGTCATGACAACCAACTCTTGTAAGTTTTTTTTTTTAATACAAAATTGCCGCACTTTTTCTCCCCGGGTACCCCCCACCACCGCCACCCCCACCCACCGTGGCAAGGCCTGTGGCTTCAGAGATAAAATGAATGGGATTGGACAGCAGGTGAAGTCTATTTTAGCCCTCTCCCTAAAGTCATTGTTAAAAGTGTAATGGCTCAAGGCCTAATTTGGACTTTCTCATGAAAGAAAGTAATTTGAATCACATATCTCATGAGAATAGTAAATATTGGCTCCTTTTGTTCCATTAAGTGAAAGTCATGAATTTTTTATACTTATTTATTAAAATTGTTTTTATGATGTAGAGATTTTAATCTCGCATATCCTTTTCCTGATTTTAATGAAGGTAAATTTGTAAGGAAAATTTTAGTCAGCTACTCAGCTAAATGTGTATTATTTGTTGACAGCTTCAAACTCGAGTATGGGGGTGAGTAGCTCCCCAGGCACTCCTCCTGTGAACCGGACCATCATGAGTAGTCCCTTTTCGGTTCTGACAAGGCCTGAGCATGCCTTTCCTCACATACACCCACAAGCACATCAGGTGAAAACAAATTACTTATTATTTGATGGAACAAACTCTATTATACTAAAAAATTAAAAACAATGAGATTTAATTGTTTTATGATATTTAAGTAAATTAAGATGTTTTTTCCATGAGTGATGAATAACCTGCATCTTTATTGGCATGGTTTCTTAGTACATGTATACGGTACACACTCATGAGAATAAAATTCCCCAATTTATACAATAAAGGACATACTACTAAGGGAAAGATTAATCCTTATGAGTAGACTAATATGTTTTCAGCAAATGGAAGTTTATGAGGGGCATAATTGGATTTTTAAGAAACATCCTAGTATGTATTTAAAGAAGAGGAAGCAGATGATAGGAAAAATTAATAATACTGAAGCAATTTATTAAAGCTATATTTGAATAAAAACTCTGTTAAGAGATGAAAAATTCAGGAAATAGTTGTAAAAAGTACTCCATTGAAATTGATAATTGTTGTTTTGTTCCTGTATTGTTATCATGTGATGATGAATTATTCAAATTTGTTCTATTTTTTAAAAAAAAAACAACAAATGAAAAGAAATTTATTTAAAAAACAACAACCAAAAAAAACTCACTTCATTGTGAGTTAACTGTTGTACAGTAGTCATGGCACGTATAAGTCTATACATGAAGATTTTGAATATTAGTAATTCAGTTTAGTTTAAATTATGATAAAAATTCAGGATCAGCTTTATCTTGTGCTGTATTGATATTTGAACATTAATGTCTAATTTCAGGTTTTTACTTATCCCAGTCTGAGCCCAGTCAATGCAATCAGTGGGGTCATTAGCCCCACCACTCTTAGTCTGATTGCATCCCCAGTAGCCACACCCCGGTCAACTCCTAGATCCACCCCTATCCCCCGCTGGACCACTCCTTTTATTCCCCTAGACGAGGGCATGGGGATGGATTACAATATGTTGGCGAGCTTCATGCATGGAGTCAACAGTGATGAACCCTTACTTAATGAAGGTGAAGTATCAAAATACTTAAAAGACCACATCGTAGGAAGAATTAATCTTTTTTCTGTTGTTGTTAAGAACAAACTTAAAACAATAGGAAAACAAACTGGTTTGTTCTAAAAGTAAACTTGAAGAAAATGTGCATATAATGGCTAAATGTTTAAGAGATAAATAAAACATTAAATTACTAATGTTTAAAATCTGTTCAGTTATATGTGTAATGTGTAGTTTTAAAGCATAGCAGAATGGTCAATCACGTCAACATTGTTTCTCTGCAGATCGATTCTTTGCACACAACAATGAGGGAATGGAAGGTTCAAGCAACTCTAACAATGGACATCATACGGGTACATCGGGTGGGAGTGGGGCTGGAGGATCGTCCCACAGTTCTCACCCCCCTGGGACACCTCAGGCCCCCAGCAGCTCCAAACCTCATACCCCCTCTCAACAGCAAACTTGATGTCGACAGGACACCACAGAATGATCAGAAGTGACCTTTTGAACTTGCAAAAATAAATATGTTGCAGGCTGTGATATTTTCAAGGAGTTGATTTTTTTTTGTTGTTAATAGATCTGATTTTTGTTTATTCTTTTTTTTTCAAGCTAGTCATGTAAATCAGACATCTTGTAAAATGTCTTTTTTAATGTTGAAAATGGAAAAAAAAAATTGCTAAATAAGGGGGAAATATTATTCATGTAATGTCCAAGAACAAAATTTACATATTATTCCCCCTGGTTGTTGTACATCCTTATGTGAACAACTCCTCTTGCCGAATGTGCCAATTTTTTGGACACAATGTGTCCAAGTTTTTTCTGATCATTTTGTGGCCCGGTTAAGTGCTCTGAAATTGGCTGTGATAGCATTATTATGTATTTGTGTCATGTGTCCACCAGTCTGTTTGTCTTAGACATTACAAATTAATTTTGCATTCTATTTCTATTAGCTCACCTTTGAAAAGGTAGGAAAAATTTAGACTGACTTTTTTCCCCAAACATTCCAAGAATGTGTTTGTTTCTACCTGACTGTTGCGGCCATGGCTCTCAAACAATCTGAAGTGATATTAATGTATCATTTCCTGGATCAGGTCTTCATATAATCTCTGTGTTATTGAAATTTTGCATGAAATTGGGAAAAAAATTAACAGGGTGTGTAAAAATTTATATTCAGGTGTGTGAATAATTATTTTGAATAATTTTTTTTTGTCTGTACTCAGCATTGAGATTGTTATGAGCTTTAGTTTGTATTCCCTTACTATGCTAAGTATTAATTATGTATTAACTGTACTGGGTGATATTATGTGTAATAGAGCCAAATAATTCGATACAAAATACCAACTATTGTTTGTCATGTACATGTTTTCCTGTACATAAAGTTTTTGACAAAATCTCTGAATCTATGCAAAGAAAAATGCATTGATATGGAAGAAATTATAATTATGTACAAATTCTAAGTGTCTTTGTATTCCCTATTTTGTGACTTCTACTTAAAATATCATTCGTGTACCAGTAATATATTCCATGTTTTTTGCACATTAACTAGTCACACAAGTACTCGCAAGATTGCATCTCTTAATTTTGGCAAACTACATGTTAAATGATATATGCAAAATTTACTCATTAATGGATGGAAAAATTTGTGCTCTCAAGGAACATTGTTGCATATTTTATAGTTTTGTGTTCCTTGATTTAATAGTTGAATTGGGTCCTTTTGACTTCTGTGAAACGAAAGAAAGATTAAAACTGGAAATGTACTGACAAGATAAGATATTAAATCATATTTATTATTGTTGAGAATTGTTTTTTATAATATATGAGACAAAGTTTTTTTCTTGTGATTGGAAAGTTGTTTGTTTCATGTTAAACATTACATATTCAACATATCATTAGGTGGCTGAACACTCTATAACTATTGTTATTAGGTATTGATCATTTCAAGCTGCATCCAACATTTATTTTTGACAAAGTTATCTCTCTTTTTTAAAGAAATTTAAATGTAAAAATTGTACAGTGTCATTAAAAAAAATAGTTTCACTGATGGAATAAAAATGATGCAAATTAAGTTTCTAAAGTATGAAATCAGTACATGTATTACAAGGTATTTTTATCAAAAAGAAATAGAGTACCTGGAATGCTAAGTAGGATATTTATCTTTAATCAAATGTACAGTTTGTTTGTGGTACCTTATGGGCTTGTATACAACAAGTTTGTGTTAATGTTGTGAAAGATATGAAGACTACCTCGTAAATTACTATGTGATAAAAGAGAGATTTCCATCCAGTTTTATGCAAATGTTGGCCATCTTGTTGCTTAATCATTGAAATTTTTCCCCATTAACATTATAAGATTTTATGAAGCATTCTCTACAATGTATAGCACTGTTTTTAATAGAAAGGATCTATTTTTACTATTGTTCAAGATAATTAATCTGGTTTACTTTTATTAATTTTTTATGGTGTCAGGGTCTTCGACCTCGAACGTCATCTAGCTTTTTCTCTGTTAGCTAGGGCAAATTACTTGTTTCCAATTTAGCCTTTCAAAGTTTATACTTTCTAGGCATTTAACAACAAAATTTTGCGGTGTATTCGGTAGACAATTGGGCCAACATTTTGTTTGAGAGTATGATTAGCATTGTCACAATCTGTCATTTTGCTGTTTCTGTGTCATTTTCTCATGTACTGTCAACTTTGCTGTGTACAAATCTGTGTGCATCTCCCCTTTAAATACCGCCAATCTATGCAGCTATGTATTGTTTTATTAATGTGTAATTTTTTTTATCAGCGCAGTCATCTGTCATCGTGTTTTGTTGGTTTTTGTGTATATTAATGTAGGACTTGTAGATTTTAAGATTTCAAACCAAAAAAAAATAAAGGGCAACGTTAAATGAAAAAAAATCTTCATATGGATCATCAGATTAGTCTGAGTTATCAAAAAAAAAAAATGGTTTGTAAGAAAACCAAAAGCCAGAAAACTTCATATTTGTTTAAAGTAAGATTTGATTTTTTTTAAAAACAAGTTATAAATGTATTATGGTTAGAAATACATGTATGGTAGCTTTGTAAAATACTCAAATGTTATGTACATAAAATCACAGAAATGGCCATGTTTTGTATATCATTATGCATAACCTTATTTATTGATTGATTTTTTTTTACAGTATAGCCACATCCATTTGATAGAAATCCATTTAATGATCATAATAGAATTGATTGTGTTGTTTTTAACTTATCCAGTTTAACTTACTTTTTAGTACTATTGTGTCTTGTTTCTTTTTAAGTTGGTTGATTAGCTTTACCAAACATGACCTTTCATTTATTACTCAGTTGTTATAATAACAAAGCTTTTATTTCTTTGAGAAATGAAATACCTACCAGCATATTCCTATGACATTTGATCCCTTACTTACAAATATTGTTTCAACGATTAGCAATGGAACTGGACTGGAATCTTGATATCGTAGAGTTTATTGGCTGAACTGTTGAAAAATGCATGTGTAATTTTTATTGTAGAAACGTACATCATTTTTGCTTTCTGTAGAGGCACTGTACATTTTGTAAAAAACAGATTGATTATTTATTTATTATACAAAAGTGAGACTGATTTAACCATGTGGTTTTATGATGGGTGTGCCTATATTACGAATGATGAGTTTGTTACTATATTATAGTGGAAGGGAATGCATGTTTGAGATATATAACAGTGATCTGTGATGCAGTTATTATTTCAGAAGTAGTAGTAATTATTTATTCAATTTGGACTTTGTTTTTTTTTTTTAATCTTTGTGTAAAATGGTATGAAAAAAATTATCACGTTTTTATCATGTCAAAAACCAAAAAAAAAGCATAAAAAAATACACATAAATGTATGTATTTAATTGGTTGTTATTATTAATTCTAGATTTCACCGTATGTTATCATATCTAATATGCAAACACCCATAGCCAGAAAAATCCAGAGGTGTAGAAAGCATGTTTTTTATCAAAAGACCTTGAATTTAAGTTTTAGAAACATCGTAGAACAGTGCTTTTTTTTAGAAATGTGCATATTAACACTGTTGAACTCAAACAAGTTTAACAAGTATTTATATCGACTTTATTAACAGATGTTTTGTTTTTATGTTTTTTAAAGTTGATAGTTACTTTGTTATGGCTGTTTTATTTATTTTTCTTCCGTTGAATTGTATTACAAGACTTGCTGACAGAAGCAAGGGGACATATCTGGCTATGGTAAAACCAGTGTGGGTCAGCTTTTTCGTTTGAAGATGGATGAACATGTCTCACCATCTTTATCACAAGTTTGAATAAAAATCTGATGTCAAATTGGTGTCGTTATTTATGGCTGAAATTGAGAGAAAAAATCTAAAAATAAAACCAGGTGATTCAGTACAAACCCTGTAACAATTCAAAGTGATGGATGACCTGGCCTGGGGGCCATAAAACTTAGACAAGCTCACTTTTGGTATCAGTCTCACTTTTACCAAAGGAATATATAGTGGAAGAGTGAGACTGAGATCAAAAGTGAGCTCATCTAAGATTTATGGCTCCCAGGCCAGGTTACGAGTTGAGGTACAAAATATCATGGAATTTGAAGTTACCCAGGAAACATTGTTATCTGTTTCCTTTGGTGGGTTAAAGTTATATACTGAAAATTCTTTCAAAGCATATTCTCCTAGGGTTATAAAATTTAAAAAGTTCATAAAAGTTTCATACAGTCATATTGGTGCAAGTTGGTGCTTTTTTGATCCAAAAGTCTGAGACATAGCTCTAAGGATTGGATGTGAAAAAAGCAGCACCTAAATTACCAGTACAGATGCTGATAAATATTGAGAGCTATTCAAGTGCATCAACATTTTTTTTTAACCTTAACCTTTACATTGACCTTGACCTTACTTTTCCGTAATTAGAGTTTAGGTCAGATTTAAAAGACACCATTCATTATGGTACATGTTCATGTATTATCAAACTTCATTTGCTAAAACATACTGATGTAAGCTATTCAATATTTTTTACCTTGACCTTTCATTTGACCTTGATCTCACTTTTCTTAAACAAGTGTTAAAGGTCAATGTTAGAAACAATTCAGGGTACTCAGTAGTGTAATAAAATTTCATATGCTAATACAATACATACAGTTATGAGTTTTTAAACTATATCAACTTTTTTTTACCTTGTTAGCTCTTCTAAGCCAAAGCCTCAAAGAGCTAGTGCTTTGGCCATTTGTGTGGTGTGCGTAAACTTTTTAGAATATGGGCCATAAGTTAAGAACCCCTTGGCCAATTATTGTCACATTTGTCACTGGGTATCCTTGGCCCAAGGGCTCCTATTTATACTTAAACTAGGGTTGTGACCCTTAAACAAAGGAGATACTCAGGAAAAAAGAAACAAAAGTACTTGTTGCTAAAAGAACCACTTGGCAGATTATCACCAAACTTAAAAAAAGATATTTTGCTACCTATAAGGATTAGGGTCATTAAATCTTGTCAGCTGATGCATCTAAGGACCTCATAAACTATCATGTTGACTCAAAAGTAGGTCTCAATGACCTACTTTTTAAATTTGAACAATTTAAGGTCTATGATCATCAAACTTTGTCAGCTGATGTATCTTGGGTCCTCAGAATATGTCAACTAAAAAAAAGGTCACCTTGTCCTATTTTTTAAATTGAGGCTAATCTTTTTCAAAACAATTAAAGTCATTAATTGGAATACTGAGAGGTTACGAATTATAAATTTTGTAAGATGATGAATCTTGGGGCCATAAAACATATTCATTAAAAAGTAGGTCACAGTTGACCTACTTTTTGAACTTTGCAGGCATTCTATGTCAAAGCATTTTAGAGGCATTGTTTGGACATTTTAAGGCACATGATCATAAAATTTTGTAAGATGAAGCATCTTGGGTCCTTGAAAAGTGTTGACTGAAAAATTGGTCACTGTGACCTACTTTTAAAATTTTTAAATGGTTATATTTGAATATTTAGGGTACATTGTACTATTTGGCTTAGATTCATCAATTTGTCAGTTGATGTATCTTTAGTCTTCAAAGTAGGTCAACTGAAAAACTAGGTCAAGGTGACTACTTTCATTTTATATGACTATAATCAAATATGTCAGGTAATAATTTGCTTAGAATCATCAAACTTTGTCATTTGATGTGTATTTAGTTTTCGGAGTAAGTTGACTGAAATGTAGGTCAATGTGACTTATTTTGAAAATTTATGGCTTTAATTAAATATTTCAGATATTAATGGGCTTAGAATCATCAAACTTTGTCAGTTGATGGACTACAACTAATGAAAGAAAGTCAGTGTGACCTACTTTTGAAATTTATGGCTGTATTAATATTTTTAGGGCACTGTTGGGCTTAGAATTATCATCAGAGTAGGTTGACTGAAAAGGTAGTCAGAAATTTTAAAGCATTGTTAAATATTTCAGGTACTAATTGGCTTAGAACCCTCAAACTTTGTCAGTTGATGCATCTTAAGTCCTTGGAGTACAATAATTGAGAAGTAGCTCACCTTGACCTACTTTTGAGAATTTATAGCTTTACTTTAAATATTTCAGGTATTATTTGACTAAAACCTTAAAACTTTGTCAGTTGATGCATCTTGGGTCCTTGGAATACAAAAACTGAAAAAATAGGTCACTGTGACCTACTTTTGAACATTTTTGGCTTTAATTAAAAATTTCAGATACTAATTGGTTTAGAATCATCAAACTTTGTCAGCTGATGCATCTTGGGTCCTTGGAATATGTCTACAGAAAAGTTTGTCACCATGACCTACTTTTCAATTTATATGGCTACAATAACATATTTCAGGTACAAATTAGCTTAGAACCATCAAACTTTGTTAGTTGATGCACCTTGGATCCTTATAAAGAATTTGTGCATTAATTTTTTCACTTTGTGATCAATGGAGTCTCACTTTAGCATGAGAACCAAGTAGCCATGTATTTCACAATACATGAACATGTGGGTCCACGAAAGCTTCCCTACATGTACAATAATTAACAGACTGGTTGTCAGGTTATGGAAACTGCACTATCTTTTTTTTTGTGGTATTGACCCTCGGGCTCTTGAGGGGATTCATTATTTATGTTCCCCTTCATCCATAGATGCTATATACATGTATACTAAAATTGATAAAAATTGGTTTTGTAATTCATAAGAAGCTGAAAAATAAAGTTTATGACTGATGGACAATATATGACATTTGAAAAACAGATGCAATAGGTCACTTGAGTGACTAAGATGACCTAAAACACAGATTCTCTGAAGTAAAGTTTCCTTTTAATATGCTGTCATGGTAGCTCTGTCAGTGGAGTGCTTGCTCCTTTATCGCAAGGGTGTGTGTTCCAGTCATGACTGCAATTGAACTAAGCTGATAAAAAATAGGTAGCAAACTGTTCCTTTGCCACTTTGAAGTGATGGATCCTTCAGATGAGATCTTAAAAACTGAGGCCCCACAGTCACAGTAGGAATTGGCATAATAAAGAACCATCAATCATCATCAATGGATCAGTTATCAATGAATAAGGTACCATGTACAAAGTCTCATTGAAAATTTACCAAAACAATAGGATAAGTAAGGTTTTGAAAATTTGAAAATGAAAAATGACACCAACAACTTGCTAAGGCAATGGCTTTTCTGGTGTTAGACCAGTAAAAATAACAGAAAAACACACCAGATGAAATTTGGGTAATTTTTTTTTATTTATTAACAATTTTTTAACACAGTCACAAAAATCTTTTTTTGAATATGTACAAGTGGAATGTGTCATTATTCTACATTACAAGATCTAATGGAAGACAAATTGAGCAATATAATCTTTGTTGTTGAAGCATATGATATGTATTTAATTATGAATTTGGGTGTGACCATGGATTCTCATCATAAGTTTTCAAAAGTTTTGATTTTGTTTGGCTTCTAAATTAATTTTCATGGTTACTGAGAGAGAAAATGAAAGAGTAGCATTCTGATTTAGTACTAAGACATTCAATTACTTTCTTATAGAAGATGATAAAATAAAAATTCATGTGGATTTTAAGAAAAAACATAAGTATAATATTTTTTTCACTCGCAAAAAGTCATATGACCTGGACAAACAGATCATATGATTTCAATAAACCTCCCTCCCCTAAAGTTTATTTGTGGGGAGGGGGCAGGAGATATTTGTCTATTATATTATTTTCATAATTTGAATATCTGACCCATTTTTAATATGGATAAAATACGATGATGAAATGAATTGCATGAATTACAAATTTAAAAAGAATTAATGAGGAATGAGTATGATATGGTTATTGAGGTAGTTAATAAAACCTGACCAATATTTCTTAAGAAATGTAAAAAGAAATTTGTGTTTAACAATGTGACATTTTTCAGAATGTATGAATTCAGACACAAAGGAATTGCATGAAAAGCATAAAAAAAATAGAATCAACCTTGTTAATAATTTTGTCAAAAGAGAAAAAATCAATTGAAATTATTAACAATGTATCCTTGTTCGCAATATATGATTACAGAAACAAAATGTTTTCTTCCTGATATATAAACAGAAATAAACACAAGTAACATCTGTTCCACAATAATATTAGTATCATATAAACTCATTACATATAATATATTAGTGTCATATAAACTCATTATAAACAGATCAAAATACATGGCACAATAATCACACTTATGGATTTATCAACTGTGAGAGGGTAATAATAGAAAAAAAAATCCATTTTCTAAAATGAGACAGTGTACCATTATCATTTGTGACTGATATTTAAAAACTGAACACAATATTAGAGAACACACAGTACATGAATTGCCAGTAATTTAAAGCTCCTATTTATGACTAGAATTACATGTATAAGTGGCATACTATGCACTAGTAAACAAGTCTTCAACAAAAGAAACAAAATTTCCCTGAAGAGATATTGCACCCCTTTACCAATCAACAATAAATTTATAACGCTGACTGTTGCTTGTCATAAACAAAAATAAAAATATGAACATTTTATTGGAAGGGAACCAAATATTCATATATTAATCAACTGTTTTAGATATTTCTTACCAAGAGGTTGGTATGCTGACCAGCATAACCTGGTATTATTCAATATTCAAGGCAAAAAAAAGTAAAGTGGGAACATTGATAACAAAATGTGCGTCAAAGTTATAATTGTGTCATCAAAAGATAATATCATACAAAAGAACTCTTGTGTTACATTGCTCACCTGAGTAAATTACATTTATGACAATGAAAACTTCTTGTAAGAAAAATATTTAAATGTATGTGAAAAGATGAATAAATGATGGAAAAATATAAAGTATTTTCATGAAAAAAAATTTAATATTTTATCAAGACAATATTGACCACTGGTAGATAAGAGGTGTAACATGTACATGTGGTTAAAGCAGGAAAGACAAAAAATATCTGAGCAGATCTGAATTCCATTACTACAGCAAACTTCAATCAATCAACAAACACATATAATTTAATTCTGGTTGTAACGCTGTATTTGATTGGATAAAAAATTTACTTCATATCGTATAAAATGGGTTGCCTACGTCACAATGACTTGCGTCAAAAACGTATCAATCCGCCTGACGTTACATTCAAATTTTGTACAAATTGAAGTCATTTTATTAGAACAATTATCTTTTTTTCTTACAGCGAATGAATGAAAATTAAATTATAAGCAATGAAATTAATAGCTACCCATTTTATACGGTATAAAGTGGGTTGGAACAGTTTACGCTTTTTTATAAACCGCTTCGCGGTTTATAAAGCGTAAACTGCCCCAACCCACTTTATACCGTATAAAATGGGTAGCTATTAAATTCATTCCTTAAATATTATATGTATCATATCTATGATGTATGTCTGCCAAATACATTGAGACAGTTGTTTTATAGTTAAAACAAATTAAAAGTCACACAAGCACTTTGTAAATGGTCAGACCATCATAAAACTATTAGAGGTACATATTGTCAGGTTTGCTGATCAGACTTAGGACATACTGTATTAAATCAGATTAGCTGAATAAATCAGGAATTTGCTCCAATGAGCCTAAGCATAAACCATACCCTTAATATCTAACACTACAACAAAAAAAAAAACATAACAATCAAAGGAAAACTAATTGCACAAAAAACTACTTGGTACTCTTAAAATAGCTTAACAAGGAATCTCATAAGAAAAAAAAAACCTTACTTTGGACATCTTTAAAATTGGACGAACATTGAAATATCAAACATAATCAAGAAAGGTAAGTGCTACTATCATAGAGAGAAAAACATGAGGAACTAAACTGTACAGAATCGACTGGTAAATAGTCTGAACTGGCCATTATATCCCCACTGGAAGTGAAAACACTGCCCTCGTCTTTATCAGCCGATGTCTGGGAGTCTGTGGAATCGGTCGAATTCACCGATACATTGTCCACCTCATCAGCACACAGTCTCTTCTCTATCGAACAAGAGCTGTCAACCGTCATTAGAATGTTACACATTTCTAGAGCAGGGAGCTTTATCAAACCACTAGATGGCAATTCTCCTTGATCAAATGCTGGGTTAGGATGGGTACTACTTGATATGACTTGAGCTTCGAACATTGGTGAGTTATTTTGTAGAGAAGTCTTCTTAGTTAAGTTCTGACTAATATTTTCTCGCTCTATACAGCAGATACAGTTTGTTACATTTAGAGAGGAATGTGTTAGTAATTTGTTTGTTGTTGAGCAACATTTTCCATGCCTTTCTCCATCAGATTCAGATGACCCTGTTAAAGAAGGCAGTTAATCAGTTCATTACAGAGTTAATCAGTTTATACCAGACAGTCAACTAGTTATTTGAGGGTTATGTTTATGTTAGACAAATGATCAGTTCATGCCTGATAATATTCATTAAATTTTTCTGACAATTTGTTATCAATGGAAATTACTAAAATAAAGGAAGTAAAATTACAAAAGATGATTAACAGATCACCTAATATGAGGTATTCATAGATGTATTATAATCAAAAGAAGATTTTTTGGTGTATTCTTTCAGTTATTCATCAACTTATTTTTTTTTCTTTGGATATCATTGGCAGTGTTCTCAACATGGCTTAACTAACCTGACTTGACACAATCATTCAGGTAGCCAGGCAAGGTGTCCATATTGTCCAAGGAACTATGGGAGCCAGCTTTAATATAAGGTTTAATTTCATCTTCTTGCATCTCGCTGGCCACACTACTAGTCTCATCATCCGATGAAGAGTCAGACTCTTGGCAAATTGTTCTATATTGGGCAAGTGAGGAGTTCCACTCTACACTTCCTTCCAAACTGCTGGCTTTTAGGCCATTATCAACTCCCTCCACATTCAAGCAGCTTTCCTGACTTGGTGAAGATAGAGGTGAGGACAGAGAGAGAAATGGAACTGGGTCCTTTGGTACGGATCCATCTGGAGTGGCAATCTCTGGAATTGGATGATGTTTGAGATCATGATCCAGAAAATCCTCCACTGGAAGGCTCCCTCTTCCACTGTCCATGCTGTACTGGAACTGGAAAGGGACCCCATTCTGCAAAGGAAGCGGGATTTTTAATATTTCGAAGAATAAAATTATATTAAAGATTTTTTTTTCCACCTTTGACTAAAGAATATATATGTTTAGGTAGTGGTAGAGTGATGTTACCTATTTGATGAGGGGTGGGGTAAATTGGGGTAAGTTACCTGTTTAATGAGGGGTGAGGTAGATTGGGGTATCTGTATTGGACTCTGGGGCTCAGTCTCTGTTGAGTTTTCTTTGTAAGCAGACAAAACACCACTTCCTGCTGTGTTACTCTGAAATAATATAACAAGTCTAATCCATATGTTGAACTAAAGGTTGAAAAAAGTTATTTTCTAGATAGATCATTCAATGATTCATACAAATTTTCACTACTATACACAGGTTTGACCTTTTTTAAATTGTAGAAAATAATTTTCATAACACCTAACTTACAGTTTGAACTGTAGGAAGATGAATGGGATCTAGTTTTACAGCACTCTTCACAGCATGGTAACAGTGTCTAATTAAAAAATAAAGATGAGCATTTCATTTTACATATAAACTTCAAATACAGATAAATATTTAACAAATGCTTGCTCTTCGATGCTGTCAAATCAATATAATTTATTGACTTTCATAAATATGTATAAAATATGGTTTAGGTAGATTTATGCAATTATTCACTATCCTGCATGGACAAAAAAAAATGAACATTTCACTTACTTAATGATAAACAACACACCAACAGCAAAGAAAATGACACCAATGATGCCTGCTAATGCTATGCCTATAATCTCCTCAGCAATCATATCTACAAAATACAGAAATGTCACATTGTCTCAATAACAATTCTCAGAACTGGAATATTGTAAGCTACCCCAGGTGGCTAGTATTTCTGAATCCTCAGCATCTATATATAGGCCATAGTTTATCTTCTAAATAAAGCATCTTTTGTCAGGATGTACCAGTAATTAAATTTGTTCTAATATGTTAAACAACCAGGCACCACTCTGTGTAGATTCTTTGTTGAATGATACTCAAGATGGTTGATCAGTCATACTCAGCATTTATTGTATGTGCAGCATCTCATAATCATAACAATACAATATGTAAACATCAATATAAAACAGCTGATTCTTCAGAAACACAAGTTTAGGTCGTCCAGTGTGGTAGGAGATTTCTAACTAGGCTAAATATACGTAAATAACATTATAAGTATCTCACCGTTTTGGTTTTCTTTCTTTTAACTTTCAAATATAGCCGCCATACAACTAGCTGAAATCTGTCGTAACGTAGTACGCGCTCGCTTATATAACCTCCCATTATCTGTCACATGACTCGAATTATCCAATAAAATTATGCCGTACGAACTATTAACCAATCAAAAGCTTGTACGGGAGGCTGAGTTCCCACACAAGTTCCCACACAAAACTACTTCTGCCACACAAGCTTCCGTACAACATCGTAACTAGAAAAACTATGTAAAATTAACAAGTGGAAATATAACACATAAAATAAGCTTGACTAGACGAATTAATAAATTCCTTCAATGTTTATAAAACATCCCTAGACTGTACAATATATGCAGAACAATGTAGCGTAGGAATATCGTAACTACCGACACTAGCGTACACAAATGTAGTCCCGATAAAGCTGACTGATTATAAAGTGAATGCTAACAATAAATAACAACTTGTAGCTTCAAATCACAAAACAACTCAAACTAAAAAGTAGAATACGATCCCATATTCATAACTTCAATAGAACAATGCATTACTAGTAAATACATATAGGTCACCAAACCGGAAATGACGATCCGAGTAAAGTATGATGGCTTCCAAACATGAAATGTAAAATCCACCCTCTATTCCCCGATATTATAACTCCTACGATATTACATGAAGCGACAACAGGTAAATTATGATGATAATAGCTATTACTAAAATCGTATCTAGATAAGCTGACATATTATTTTCAATAAAATCATAAACGAACAACTTTTCTGGCAGGCACATGTTGAACATAGATTTAACAAGAATGAGAACTGGACGACCGCATAATATTACGTTTACAAATCAAGTGATATATTACAATATGGTCCATTTGTTCACTACTGTTGTGATATATAAATATATTTCTCAACTTAAAATGTTTTCTATAATTGTATGAACATTTTGTAACTAATTGGGTTAAAATAAAGCAATAAACTTATGGTTAGAACCCATTCCATTACTTGGTATGTACAGTGTACAGAATTATAATGTATATCTAAAGTTTGATGAATGAAAATATTTTTAATTGCATGTACAACAGAAACGAGACTTACAGCTTCTGACAGGTCTGCCATTGAACATGTCTGTTGGAGGAGAAACCTTCTTCGAGTTAGAAATAGATCTGATGACAATACCATACCACTTTGACATCTCTACGTCCTGCTTTGATAAATGATAGACGTAATCCACAGAATCGTGAGCCTTGATATCCCTGGTCATCCAAGAACCTAAAAGAAATTGTCAAGTCTCAATATACCTAATGCCAATAAGGCAAAAATAAAATATCAGTTAACATATTGTTACATGTACATACATTATGGTAATCAAATCTCTAGAAGATAGGCAAAAATTGAAAAGCCAACTTCAATGACAGACTTCACATGAGACAAAGTCTCAATGCAAATTAATCTGAAGTAAGACTGTTACAGAAAAGTTAATTTTCATCATTTTCAGTATTTTAATGACTATCACACAAACTGTCATACAAAAAATACACTGTATAAGAAGCAAGACCCAAGAAAAGCTTTGCATTACCTTGGAAAATTAACCACTTTAAGAAGTTTGAGGAAATCCAAACACAATTTCATTTGATTGTTTAATGAATTTACTTGCTTACAAACAAACTGTGATCAGAAAATCTATATGTTCATGTAGCAATGATCATGTGAATGAGTACATTTGTACTGTACAATGCAAAATGAAGTCCTAAAAGTAAAAACTAGCATTTGCATCTGATTTAAAAAACCAACATTTGAAATTTCTGCTCAAACACTGTCTCAGAATCTCTTTTTTTCCACAAAATACAAGCACAAGTACCTTGACAAACATCTGATTTATCCTTTGTCTGACACCAGGAGAGTTGGTACCTGACTGGTTTGGAGGTCAGACCATCACAGGTTGGTGGAATCCAGTTTATGACTAGGCCATCTTTGTTGGATAAAATAGAAACCTTTCTCGGAGAGGCAGGTGCTGAAATAGAATTAAACATGTGAAATTGCTTGAAATTCAAATGATATGTTTCTACTTCCAAATTAAGGTAGGATTCTTCTCTGGTTTATGAGTAGATGAAATATTCAATGTATATTTGCTTATATGCCTTATATATTTGGGTAAAAGTGATTTAAAAGATCATATTTTTGTTTCCTTATCACAATTGTACAACTTTAAATAGAAATGGTAAATTGTGTTCGAAAACTAGCAGGGACTATATTTTTGGCAGAATGGTGTCGTATAAAAATTACTTCTTTTCTGCTTCTCAAAATTTTTATAGAAAACTACGAATTTAGTTATAATTTTTACACAATCAAAGACTAAAAGAATTTGTCAAATGTTAGCCAAATTAATAATATGGAACTTAAGTTTTGAAATATATCAAATAAATATGAATTTCCAAACAATCTACAATTATGTTAGCTTTTAAAAGCTTCAACTCTAAGTACAGATATGAGCCAAAAATCCATAGAAAGTGTTTATACTCTCTTACTAAACGGTCAAAACTTTTTATTTTTGTATCATTTTGTATCTCTATATGACTGCTTTACCATATGTGAAAATAAGAAAAACTTAAATATAGGGCATATATAAAAATAACTTAAATATCCTAAAAAATTAAGAAAAAAAAGAGAAAATTTGGATTAGCCAAAATCCATTTTTGTTAAACCATTTGTGTCATATTGGTAATATCATCTTATAGATCCTATATGGTAAATAATATCTTTTTATGCAAAGAGAAAAACATTTAATCTTTTGAAATAGAAGACCCTATCTCATGATTGGATGCATTTATTTTTATTCTTAATGACCAGGGAAAAGGTAATGACCTTGACCTGACCTTGAATCTAATATAAAATAGTCAAAACTAATCTGACTAAAACTAAGCAGTTTTAGTTTTTCAGAAATTCACAGGGCCAAATAAGGCCATAAGTGAACCTTGTTCTTTACTGTGAAATCACTAATGGTAATTTTTGTGTGGGGTTTAATTTTCATTGTTTTGGAGGTATGAAGAGACCTACAATTTACATGTATTTCCACTAGGATATGTAAAATGTCACATACATGTACCGGTACATAACTACTCAACAATTCTTCATCCATAAAATTAAATCCCCATGAGCCCATATTTTATCCCCCAAAACCATGAAAATCTAACCCCTCCAAAATAACTGATTTTACAGTTACTGTAGTTTGTGTTTCTTAAGTTTGTAGTTCAACTTTACCACTGAGATTGAATTCAAGATAAATAATCATACAAATACCTTCATTGCTATTGTAAACACAAGTGATCCATTCAAATCCACTGCTGATGTTGTCTGTGAGTGAGTCAGCTGATACTCCAAACTTAAGGTCACTAATCTCATGAAACTCATTGGCATTGAACACCAAGGAAGACTTCCCAAACCCTGCTACCTTCCAGCTGACTTCTTTTCTCTGTAAGTATATTTGGTGTACACTAGGACATACAGACAGGCGAAATACCGTATAAGTACAATTTTTAGCGAGGATTTAATTTTGGCATTATTAGCGAGGGTGCTGATATCGCTAAAATTGAATATCGCTAAAAATTAATTGCATATTATTTGTAATAGCTTATTTAGTCAGCATTTTAAAATCACTAAAATTACTTCTCGCTAAAAATAAAATACCAGATTATAGGTAGAAATCGCTAAATTTGCGTCTCGCTAAAATTTCCACTTATACGGTACAAGTACTGTGAAATCATTTTGATTCGTGGAGGCCAATGTTCATAGTGTTAAGCAAAATTTTGTTGGTTTCTGGCATGTAATTTCTTGAGTAACTTGAAAACACAAATGATTCAATAGATAAATATGTTGACAAAATAATTGTTTGTGGGGATGTAAATTCGTGGATAAGGGCGACCCATGAAATGCACATACACTGGACCCCAATTGAATATTGATGATTCCACAGTATCATATTCCAAAAATATGTAGGTGACATCCTATAATAGAAGAGTACTTTTCCAAAAATTTAAAGAAAATGATACATTAGAATTTGAAAACAGTTTTTGAGTTGCAACACACAGTACATGTATCCCAAGAGTTCATGGACATACATTCAAACAGACTAAGTGATATGTTCACAAAATGTAGAGGTGTCTTCCTCTCATAGTCAAGTACTTGAGTATAAAATTTAAATACATTGAAAACTGACTAAGTTATCAAGACACAAAAGTGTTGTCAGACAGATGGACATATAGACAGACAAAGCTATTACTTAATCACTCTTGCATATAACGCAGAAGCCTTATTTAAAATTCCTCAGGAAAATGAGTGAATTTCAAGTAAAATCTCCAGTATGTAAATATTAAAAAGTGCTTACCAGCCCTCGTTTGCTGCACCAGTAGACCGTGAAGCTGACATTTTTGTTTGGGTTGTAGTCCCAGGAAACATTGACCAGTTTGTTATCTGTCTCCACCTGAACATTCTTAGGCATCTCTACAGCTACAATGTGAAGAGATATCAATATCACAAATTCTTCTGACACTTATAGGAACTGCATGTAATTAATGTTTCAGTATACAATGACTTGTGATAAAAAAGAAATTTCAACATTTATTGCTGAATATACAGTCAAGCCTCAATAATCAAGATGAAAATAATTCAGAAAAATCACCTTCAGAATGAAAGAACATAATTTTAATTTTTGTCTACCTACTATAACAGATACCTTTCAGTAATCAAACTTTTTATCAGTCCAAACAATTGGCTTGAAAATACTAGCATTTGGAATAATACGGTCTGACTGTACTCAGAAATACTTACTGCCATTGGGTGGAATATGAATGGATCCATATACAGAGGACAAGCCAAACTCGTTGATAGCGTAGACGTGGATGTTATAACCCTTCCTACACTTCAGGTCCAGGTCTACCTTCATTATCCTCTCCTTCACCACCTTCTTATCTGTATGTGTGTCTCCAATCTGCCGGTAGTGGACCTCATAGTATGTGTCATTTCCATTGGATTCCATATTCGTTATTGACTAGAACAGATTAAGACTACATTTCCATGAGCTTAATGTAAAGGCCTATAGTATTAGGCAATGGCCAATATCTGCCCTAATCAGCACTTCCTCGGGACATTTTTCAGGTCCTGAATAACTTATTATATGATGAGTGCACACTCTCTTCTGACTGAAAATACAGTGAAAACTGTCTAATCTGACACCTGTTCAATCCATCACGCTGTAAATTCTGACATTAAATTTCCTTCCCATTTTACTTTTTTCCATGATTATTTACACTGTTCAATCTGACACCTTGTATATTTCCACACAGAATTCATCTCTCAGTGCATGTCGGATTAGACAGGTTTCTCTATATCTATGAGACCATTCGTAATATGAGTGCTACTCAATAGATAGATTTATGTTTATAAAATCATTGTAACACTTGAGGGTTACCTTCCACAAAACAACAACTCGACGATTATCCATGTCACTGACGCAATGTTCCTGATCATTGATGTAACTTCCCAGGGTAAGTACAGGGGCTGCACTGGGATCTGAAAAATGTTAATATTTACCGTTACTTAATTCATCACCAACATTTTGTTTTACCACTGAAGTCTGTATATTTTGAACAAAAAAGATGTCAAATTTTGATATTTTTCAAATATCCAGTTCATGTAATGCTTGGAGAGGCATATTGTCAGATAAACAATCAACTGAATTATACCTTAATCTTTAATTTTTAATTAATATTTCTCTTAGAAATTATGGAAACTCACTATCACCGATGGTTTTATAAAGTTTTCTGGTAGATTGACTCCAATATCCAGTGATATTTCCAGCATAATTCTGTGGCTTGACTCGAATCTCAAACACATAGTCAGTGTAAGCAGTGAGGTTACATATTGTGGCATTGACTGCACTGTTCTTCAATATCATTGTCTGTAAAGACATTATAAGGTTTTTATAATATAAAAACTGTTCAAAAATTTTTAAAAAACCCAGCAAATTGATGCAATGGCTGTAACCTCTTTCCCATCTACTCATTTAATCATGCAGTAAAACTTGTTATAGTGAAGTTCTGGGGACCTTACCTTGCTTTATCTATAATTTGTCTGTACATTCATTATATCAGTGTTTGTAATAAACAAGTTTCACTGTACTTTTTCATCTTAAGGTGGTTTTTGGGAAATTTTTTAAAGACAACCATCTTGTTTTTGTCGTGTGTATGTTTCCCTTCATTTGATAATCTGGTACCCTTCATCCAAAGATATTTTGGGTCAATTAAAAATTGATCCAAAGGCTCTGAAGATGAAAATCTAAAAATCTATGTCACTAGCAGACATTATGGCCAAATTTTTATCAGAAAAGCTTCTCTGAGCCTTTGTCTTAAGAGGAAATCCTAATAATTTCTTAGATATACATGTACTATTATTTAGATTACCTTAAGAACGTCATCGTCTCTCTGGAATTTGGAGTACCTTATCTCCACTGCCTGGACTCGGTTTGGTCGATTATACTCCCAGGTGACAGTCACACAGTCTTTGTATGTTGTGTTGTATATGTTCAAGTATTTCACTGGAGAGGGTCTCACTGCATTGAAAAATTTCAAACTTGTGATGTTCATGACATAAATACTATCAATTAAATTTTGGTCATATGTATAATTTGAAAAAAATCTTTGAATGTTACCCTTATATTAAAAAAATCAAAATTTTATCTTATACAAATACTTAATCAATGTTCATTTCACTTTGGTGATTATATTGAACAAAAATGGAAACTTCTTCATATTCTTACATCTTATAAATGTAACTTGATTCTTATTTACTTCATCACAGTCATCAGAAATGTTGTTCATTAGTAAAATATTTGTAATGGAATAAAATGAATAAAACAGCCATGATGGAAGAAGCATTATTAAATATATTAGTGCAGTTTCTAAACAAATGTACATGCACATGCAATCCACCATACTATAGTAATGTTTTGATATTTATTTCTGTAGATATAGTTACAAAGCCATAAACCTATAGAAACCTACTATTTGAGTACAATGACAAAATGCACTCGTCTTTGAATATAAGCTATATAGATCAGTTATATATGTTAATATGAAATGTTTAAATGATACAAATTGCACCATATCTTCTCAGATTATGTACTAGTACATAATTAATAATATGAGAGAGAATATTGTCAGGGTTTAAAATTATGCATTAGGCTTTCATATGTGCATTAGTTGATTTGATGGCAGGACTTAATGATATTTTCATCAATTTTGTAGCTAGCCTTTTTAAAGCAGGTGTTTAAGGCATTGCGAAAGTGTAGAGATGTTACATTAAAGATTTATATCAGATTGCACTTTTCAGCTTGGAATACCTATAGATGTAATTTCTTGAATAGTATGCTTAACATATGTAGCATTGTTAAGCTTGATGTTTTTCGTGAGGACTGTATATGTCCATGAGCTCCCTGAGCTAATTACAACATCATCTTTTGTTTGGTCCCACACACACTGGTGATTATTTAGCATTTTGGGGCATGTATGCCAAAATTTTCCTCCATTATTCCTACAAATGACCAGTCAGCTTAAGCATACATAGAGTAAATCTTGTTTCCATCACCTTGTCAATGTTATAAGAGGCCCATGGACCACAACACTCACCTACCGTATATACTCGCCTATAAGTCGGTCCGCCTGTAAGTCGGTTGTACTTAATAAGCTTATATTTCAGATGGACTGACCTCATATAATACCACTATTTTCATAGCTAGCCTATAAGTCGGACACAGAGTTTTGGACCAGATATCAACTCCCAAAAAACCGACTTATAGGCGAGTACATACGGTAGTCACAGTTTTTAGAAAAATTACTTTTAAGTTTAAATGGATTGAATGGATTTTTACATCTGACATTAAATTTATAAAAATATAATAAATTTACAAAGATGTTTTAATGAATTTGAAGAAAATGTTTAAATGGTCATTTAGGATCTATCTTCTACGGTGTCCGGCCATTTGCAAAAGTGTGCCAGGGTGTTACTATCATTCCAATAACAGTGTGTCAATTTGCTAGATTGACCATACTAGTAATATTTAACAAATTGATACCATATAACTCATTGACTGGATGTTTGATTTCAATTAAATAAATACTAGTTTGCATATGAAACACAGAATCAAACAATACCCTGATAATACTGGCCAATCACATTTGTAGCAGAGTTTAAAAGTGGCTAAGTGTTGTAAATAGTGAGGCCACACTCCTACTAGCACTAGCTAGTGGGTTAACCCTTTAGCTCAGTTGGTAGAGCGTTGGATTTTAAATCTGAGGGTTGTAGGTTCGAGCCACAGTGTGGACACCCCCTAGCTAATCGGTCATACATTGAAGTAACCCAAGTGGACACCCACCCCATCCCTATTAAAAGTCTAATATGACCCTACCCTTTCCCTGGAGGTCATGATTCAACAAATTTGAATCTCAAATGCATGGGGATTTTTACATATTTAAGATATGATTAAAAACTGCTTTGCTGTTTTTCAGGAGAAGACTTTAAAATTTTTTTTCCCAATATGTTCCTATGCATATTTTTGATCATACTTCCCCCTGGGATCATGACTTGAACAAAATTGACTCTACACTGGGCAATGAAGCTTTCATAACAGTTTGATGTTTTCTAGCCCCAAGGTTCTACAGGACAAGATTTAAATTTTAGGCTGCATTTCATTTCCGGAATTTTTGGTAATTATCAACTTTTCATTTCCGACATTTTTTAGTTTTCATTTCCGACATTTTTTTGTTTTCATTTCTGACATTTTTCAAATACATATGTAGTACCTATAGTAACAGATTGATAACTTTACTTATGAAAAATTCAAAGGAATAAATCATAAATAAATCATTGTAATCCAAGTTTGTAAATCTATTAGTGACTTGGACATTAGTATGGTGCTGTCTCTGACATTTAATTTAGTGCACATTAAATGTGGTGAAAGAGTTTTGTGCTCATTTAACTCTTTTACGTAGACTTAGTGCTACATGTATCCATATATGTATAGATGTTGTTTTTTTAAAAAAATTTTTATTAATGTTTTGGTAAAAATACTTTTCAAATTCCATTTTCTTTTACTTAGAAAACATTGAATTGCCGCACAGGTAAATTCCGGAAATGAAAAAAAAAAATTATGTCGGAAATGAAAACCAAAAATGAAGGAAATGAAAACAAAAAATGAAAGAAATGCTACGCATATTTCAGGAAATGAAATGCAGCGAAATTTTACTATTCTTAATGAAAGAAAAAGTGAGCAAGCTCATATAACCCACGCTCCCCCAAAACTCAAAGTGCTGAAATTCCCAGAAAAATAAAGGAATCAAAATTTCCTAGTATTATGCACATCTAAACATTGTGTCCTAAATATCTGCAAAGTTTGATGAAATTCTATGCAGCGCTTTATGAGATGTTGCGCTGACAAACTGTTCATCTCTATATTCAAGATATGGCCAAAAATTTAAGTTGAAAAGTGCCGAAATTCCCAGAAAAATAAAGAAATCGGAATTTCCTGGTAATATGCACATCTACACATTGTGGCCTAAATATCTGCAAAGTTTGATGAAATTCTGTGCAGCTCTCTATGAGGTGTTGTGCTGACAAACTGTTCATCTCTATATTCAAGGTATCGCCAAAAATTTAAGTTGAAAAGCTAGGAAATTCCCGGACTGATGGACAGGTCAAAAACATTATATCTCACGCAACTTGTTGCTGGGGTATAATAAAGAGTATGGACATTCATTAGAACAAACTTGAATTCTCATCAAGGATGCCTTGTGCCAAGTTTGGTTGAAATTGACCCAGTGGTTCTTGAGAAGAAGATGAAATTGTGAACAGTTTATGACAACAATGGTTACAACAACATACAATTTTTCAACAGCAAAGCTGAAATTAACAAAGGACAAATTACAGAGTACACATTTGATCAGAAAAATTTGTTGAAGCCCAGTGACCTTAAAGCTTCAGACATGTCACAATCTATAAAGCATTAGACTGGCAAGACCTAGTTTAATCCTCTTTCAGCCAATTTCTATCTCTGATATTACCAATTGAATTTAAACACTGGATGAAGAAGACATTTCGAACAATGGTTTCTCGACTGTGGAGATTTTTCACCCTGACTATATAGGTCCATGATGCCCCTCCATTGATCACGATTCTGCCGTTACTCTGGGAGGGGTTAGGCCAGACACAACTGGTGAGGCCCTGCACAGGGCATTGATGAATGACCCCATGCAGACCATTTTTCCTATAATTGTTAATATGTGAGAACAATTTGTTTTCACTTTCCTGGTTTATTGTTGTCATGTCCTTGTTTGCGTCTATTTTTATGAAAATTTAAACTGTTTTCTGAAAGATTGTTTTGTATCAATTTGTTGTGAAAACAAGATTCCATTGATGTTTAGAGCAAAACAAGCTCTGTTTTGCAAAACAAGTAAACTGTACATGAACAAGTGTATTTATCTTGTGTAGCATAAAAAAAAATCTTTCAGATGTGCATTGATACATAATATTTGTATCTATAAATTCAACAACGGCTTAAATTTCTCATATCTAAATTCAACAATAACTTGCAATTCTTATACAACTACACATTTTTCAATAAAAGTGCAAAAGTGTTTTTGCTAACTTTCATAACAGAGTTAAATTTAAACCTTGCTTAATAATGTGCACAAAACCCAATTCATATTGTGTGAGTGAAATCTGTGTAAAAAAAAACAAAACACAAAAACAAACAAACAAACTTATGACAAAATTTCAGTGGTTGAATAAAATGTGTGCAAAATCAAAACAGGGTACAGTGACAACATGCCTCAACAGTGAACTTTGGAATTATCAAATCTGACACAAATTATAATCTCCTTTCACTTCATTTGTCTAAGTATATATGATTAACTTGGCAAATGTGACATTATAAGTGTACAAAGTACGCATCTCACAAGTAATGGGCTAGACATAATCTTTCTACTCTCCTGGTGAGGCACGTAGATGTACAGTAAATAATATAACTCAACAAAGACAAGGATACCTAGATTTTCTACTTCTAGCCAGAAACTGGAGCGTAGTATCGAGTCTTTAAGCTTGAGATTCCTCAACAACAAAATGACCCGAAAATATCTACTGTCAAAGTTAGATGACCCAAAATGCCATCTGCACTGGTTAGGGCTTAGAGAAGGACATTTTATGAACACGGATTTTTTGCAAGTCCTGACACCAAAACAGTGTTTCCTGAAATGTTTAATGACTCTTATTGATTTGGAGTGATTTGTCAAATTAGATCCTAGTAATTAAATTTGATTTCCTTTACTCCTAAAGGAACAAAGTTCTCTTTGTAAACATGGCTTGGAATGGCATTTTTTGAAAATGAGGTCCAACATATGATATGGAATAAATAGCCAAAAATGAGACATAATTCTGTGCAAAGACATCACAGGAACATATTATACGAGGGTTGTCCCGTAAAATCGTGGACAAGTTGTCTAGTGTGAAAAATAAACATCACTGCATTCTGAAATTTTCACTATTATTTAGTACATATGTTAGTAATATACATAGCAAATTTCAGATAAATATATGCATAAATAAACAAATTATGAGATTTTATGCCATGTATTGTATCATCTTACGGCGCATGGATTATAACGTCAAAGTGTCTAAAACAGCGTCAAGTTTTATCTTTGCTGAAAATGAAGTTGGATGAGTCCGACTTAAATCTAGGAATTTCATTGATACATATTCTTTAGTCTCCATAAACAGCCGAAGAACCAATTTGCACCCTTATGCGATCTTCTGAAGATTCATTAGTAAGTTACGGACAATATTCTCACCATCATTTAACTAATAGAAAATCTCATATCGGCGGTCTACTGTGACAGCATCTTTTGCTATTACATTAGGAGTTTGTCCGTATGTTTTGTACTCCCTAGGGACTCGATAAAAAAAACTTCGCTAAGAAAACTTCTATTTCATTTGTATACTTAAGATATGGTGATATTTTATGATCTTTTTTCTTCTATGGTCATTTCAAGTCTCTAAAGGTGTCATTACAACATCGAAATAAAACTGAACTGTTCTCCAGTGCGCCGTATTTACGTCATAAAACGGTGCCATTTTTCATTTGTTGTGTTTATCACTTTCCCATTTCGAATGCTCGAGAAACTGCCAAAAATTAACCAAATGCCTTAAAATTTTTACAAAGACAACGAAATTGATTGTGGAATTGAATTAGGATAACTTTAATCTAAATCTTATGTATTTAAATATTTTATTCAAATGTATATTCTTTAATAAAACCTTGGTTTTTTGACCGTGCGCCGTGACAATACCTCGTGCATATTCAAGCATAATAAAATCTTTATTTTTGCCTATATTTTATCAAAAAAAATTATCATGCATTTAAATATGATAAATAAACATTTACTGAAATTTTCAGCTTAGTGCGCCCATTACTTTTCGAGAAAAACGCTTTGTCCACGATTTTATGGGACAACCCTCGTATAAAAAAAAATGAAGTTTATGAAAATTTACTATAGAAAGACACAGACACAAAAGAAACATCCCTAAACAATTAAAATTGAGAGGCACATATATAGGCTACATACATACATATATAAAATTAATATACATGTACACTTTTATGACTACTTATCTTATAGATATGTGTTTGAATACTGATTTGATAATAGCAGTCTTTATATTTTTAATTTTTTAAAACTCTTTAATTGGTATTCCAATATTAAAACTTGAGCCCTTATTTCTTAACCAATCTTGGCATTTACTGCAATGATTTTCTATAAATAAACCTGTGACCTAATAGGATGCTTTTAATTTGAAATATATATGTTTCTGGCTCTGAATGCTAAGATAATAAGAAACTTGAATCTCCTTTGCAAAAATGAGTTTGTAAGCTTTGGCTGAAATTAGTCCCAGAGAAGCAATTAATTAAAAAAAAAAGTTACAAAGCATACATCCTCACAATGTCAAGGTTTTGTGACTTTGGAACCCCACAAATCACAAAACTGTGACATTGTGAGGATGCAATCCAGAGAGAAAATAGCCATCACAATAAAAACAAAACTATGATCATAAAAGCTAACTTTGGTTCAGGTGAGATAAAAAATATATATAAACAACAGTATTACTACAAAGCTATATGTTTCTGTCCCAGTATAAATGACTTACCCATACAGGGTTACATTGATGTTATTTGGATTAGCGTAAAATCCAAGGTCCCAGGTACACGTCTTATTTACATCCCAGTCATAGATTTCACAATGGAAGTTTGTCACATTTCGGAGGGGATCTAGAAAATCAAACACATCCAATTTAATATTGTATACAATTTCAAAACTCAATGGAGCTGAGAAAAAGCTCTGATGGTTTGAGATATTGACTGTGAAGCAAAAATGGCTGGGACTTCCAACTCACTTCAACATAAGTAGGTATTCAAGATATCAACATTCCATATATAAAGGTTCTACTGTACATTTAGTTTCTGAATTATCCATATCTATAGTTGATTTTCTTCGAATATTCATATACGAGGATTTTTTAAAATTAAATAAAATATATGTGTGTATATATTACCTGTATTAAACCTAATTTGAATCTGAAATAATTCACAGTGAAGTTAATGTTAAACTTTTTCCTTAAACCAATTCAGCAAAACTCGGTTATAACGAAGTCACTGGGACCTGTGAAATTACTTCACTATACATGTATCTGTAATTCGTTATATCCATATAAGAAATTTGTTCAAATTTATACAGCTGGCAATCCAAGCTGTATTCGTGAATTTGCAATATTCATGTTCGTACTAAATGAGTTTTGCTGTACTTATTCTGTAGGCAATCAAGACCTAACATTAGCCTTCATAATTATCAAACAACATGCTGTAACTTTCTTGAAGAAATTCCATACACATTAGCTTCTATATTTCATGTATGTCTCTAGCTTGCCATACTTTGTTAATTGCAGCTAAATTTTTATTTTACTCTTTTCCCTCGATATTGCCAAAATATCATAAAATCAATTTAACAAAAACTCCCGACAACCGAAAAATTTTTAAAGCTTATACAAAATATCAAATAAATTTCTAACTTTAGTTTTTAAATTAATGCCTTTTGAACTTGAACACGTAGAAAAAGATCACAGCCATTCTAGTTTTAGTAAACATGATTTTTAATGAGTCACATGTTCACCCAAACTACACTTAAAAGGTCTGTTTTCAGAAAGGCTACTGACCTATTAATCAAGCAAACAGTTTACTGCAAGATATTCAGAGAGTAAATAAAAACATTTAAATTAAACCCAAGCCCATTTACTCATAGGAAATGATTTGTGATTTAAGAAATAAATAATGGGATTAGAATTATAATGTAAACATTTTGTTCGATCATGTTGATGATGTTCACATGTATGGAAGACAACCTTCTACAAATTCCACATTGTTTTCAAATGTAGCTTGACCTTGGAGCATGAAATTGAAAATCAACTAGCAATTTTTTTTATCATTTCACAACAGCCATATTGGATTCATAGATCAACTCATTAGCATACACAGTGGACCCTCATTTATCCGGACGCTTTGGTTCCCAGTCAATTTGTCCTGGGAATGTGAAGCATCTGGATATCTGAATCACCAGTTAAACAAGACAGAATAACATTTAAAAATTTCGTTCCGATGAAAAATCATCCGGATACTGAAGCATCCGGATATCTGGCGTCCGGATATCTGAAGGTCCACTGTACTTAATAGTCACTTTGTCTATTAACTATTAAGGAATAAAGAAAAAGACTAACTGACCTCAAAATATTTTATGTTTTCAATTACTAGAATGATCAGTTTAACTAATTTATTCTTTTATAATAGATAAATGCACACAGCTCACCTATGAGTATAGAGGGGGTGTTTGAGATGTGGTTGAATTCAACACTCAAAGGACTCAGAAGGTAATTAAAGGACATATGAAATTCATATTTTTTATCTATATCTAAAATTACTACTGGAATGCATGGAATTTGATTAAAATCAGTTCAGTCTTGTCAAAAAAGATCATTAAGAATTTTAACATTTAATATGAACAACTCGAATTACATAACAGATGAGAACAGATAACAAATTAGTTCGATTTTTTTTCCTTTTGATGAGGTCATTTGTGAGAATCAGGTTACTTAAAAACTGAAATAGGCATGTAATCTTGAATGGCAACAACTGAAATTTTGGAATTTTTTTCAAATTTAACTCTTGTAATGTGTAAAAAACAGAGAAGATTTTTCATTGCATGCCCAAAAAGGAAGAGTTTCTCATTTGAATCTATTTTTCTTTTTTACTTCCAACTTGAATGGTCTTACATGTAATAAGATTACAGCCAATAGAGGAAAGAAAATGGACAGAAAAGCAAGATGATTTCAGGAATTCTCCTTTTAGGGAAATAGAACTGAATAAAAAACAATAAGCCAATGGGCCACATTGCTCACCTGAGCATTTGGCTAGGAGTACAGTATTAAATGATTTGTACCAACCTATCCCTAAGATCAGAGGGGTGATTTTAACAAACTTGAATCTACACTAACTGAGGATCCTCCCATATTTCTCTGACAAATCATGGCTTCATAGATTTTTAAAGATTTTTTCCCATAAGTTTTATTTTTTATTGTGGCAATGCACTACCCACAGGGGACATAATCTCTACTGTTCTTGAAAAGATTTTGAAAGATCTTTGGCTCAGGTGAGCTAAAAAAAAAAACAAAAAAACATACTTACACTCTAGTTCTACCACCTGCCTGTCTACCATACTGATGGACTGCTTAACATCTCTGAGCTTACAGTAATAGTAGCCTGCCTCTTCTAGAGACCTCATGGTCTTCCTCAATGATATGGTCTTCTTGTTTATAATGCTGGTATAATTCATAGGGATTTCCCTCTCAGGAATGGATAGATTATTGGGTTTGAGTGAGAAGTACAACCTGGAGGAATCATAAGGAGCCGAGGAGTTGAGTGTGCATTTCAGGACCAGCTCTGAGTCCAGAAGTATGTATGGATCCCGTGGTGTCATGCCTGTGTGTGAAACAATGAAAATTATATAGCTGCAATGAATTTTCATAATCTAGATGATGAATTTACATATGAAATTATTCTAATTCTCAGACAAATCTAATTATAATGTGCCATTTTTTTTAAACATCCTTTCTGATTTTTTTTTCCATGCAGCATCATGCACTCTCTTGTAATTTCACTTGCATGAATTTGTTTTTATGTGACAGCTGCATTGTAAACATTTACAAGACATAATATTTGCATATCATTTACATAATATGCATAAGTAATTAGAAATACTTCCTGTTTTTGTTCATAAAAACTGTAATATAACATGATTTAATCACAAAGTTCAAGCAAGGGGAAAAAAAGGATTCAGCCCCCCCCCCCCCCCTCTTCATTATGCTAAGCCTAAATTTGGCTCAGGGGCATTTTAAACAATACTTGTTATCTATCTTTAGCTTTACCTTATACAAATGATTTCCTTTACTTTCTAGTGAAGTCTTTTTTTGATTTTTTTTCATTTACTAGACTTTTTATTGAATAAATAATTGTTAAACATTTGTAAACTTGATTTAAAAAAATGATGTTCATCCTTTCCCATTATAATAGGTATTTACACTACAGACATACAAATTGCATTATAAATAAGCAAAATGAAATATCATTATGATATATGTAAATACACGTAATTACACAGACATACAAATTGCATTATAGATTATGTAAGGCAAGCAAAATGAAATATCATTATGATATATGTACATGTATCATGATACAGCCCCAAAGTATCATGAAATATCACAATAGCCATACCCTTACATCTACAATATTGTTTATATATTGTCATTAACCTGTCTACACCTAATTAATAATTTAACTCACTTCCACAGTTGCAGCATGATCTGAAACAAGGCCACACTGGGACAACAGTGAAAAGAAGTAATGGAAACACAACTCTGAAGATGGAATTCATTGCTTTCTTCCTAAGGATTAATTTACTGCTGATTATGTCCTGCTCTGAATACACTCCCCCAACAGGTTATCAAACTACTGGTAACATTTTCACTCTGTAATAAAAAAAAATATATAAATTTATTGTTTAACATCCATTGTAGATATTTTTTAAATCACTTATTCTCTTTTGAGAAGAACTGTGGAATCATTTTAATTCATGGGTCCATGTTTGTGGGCAAATTTTTACTTGTACATATACAAAATGAAGTTTTATAGGGATGTAAAATTAATTCCCCACAAAGTCCACAAACTTTATTCCCCCCACAAACAATGATTATTCCACTGTATACATGGTATAATATGAATGTGATTACCTTTTGTCACAGATGCTCTGCTCCGTTGAAGCATTTATAAATAAACAGTACAATGTCAACTAGCAGAAACCTTATCACTGCTTCTGCATCCAAATGAGTATTATATAGTTATATAGTATAGTTTCTGGCAACAATACAAAAGCCAAACATGTTTCTATGAACCCAGTGGCATACGAACCATGTGAAGAGCTCAGGTGAATTAACACTTGGACAAATGTGAGATCAGATGTTAATTCCTTCATCTAATTTTCACAAGACACGACAGTTTCACAAGACATCCACTATATCAACATACTCAATTCAGGATATTATTTCTGTGACATGATTTTTTTTCCAAATGGGAATTTCCCACTTTAAGACTTCAGAAAGATGTTTTATGCATGGTAATCCAGCAACCAAACGTCTTAAAAGGAAGTTAATTGTTTAGTGTATCGACTAAAAATGCTATAAAACAATGCACAACATACGCCATTCTTGACACCAATTGCCCAATCATTTCCTCTGTTTACAGTGTCATCCTGTTCCCTTTCAAAAAGGATCATGATAACGTAAAAACATTTGTTCAACATTTCCTGTTTACATGTTGTGGAAGTGGCATGACACATATAAAAGTAAAATCTCGTTTGGTACGAATTTCCGGAATTCGTAAAGGGTACTTAAAAATGGACTCATTATCACAAAGTCATAGTAAATTTTAAGAAAACTAAACAAACTCATTTTGATAAATGCTATTAAAATTGGCAAACAAAGAAGCAAATGATGAAAAATAAGAATGCTTTTTTAAAGTTTAAATTATGGTTTAGTTTATTTTTTGATCAGGGGTACTGCTTTGTAATTAATGACTAAGTGGTTGATTTTGGTCGATTTATTTACTCATCTTAGCAGATTATTTTCGAGTAATTTTAGATTACATAGATATTTTGCATTAAATAAAAAATCTGAACACAACAATTTAATTTTAAGTACTCACAACCCGGCTAAAAATAGGTACAAATGTACCTATATTTATATATTTCCATAATGAACACCTTCGAGATCAGCATTGTCACACTTAAAAATTATAAGTCCCTATTTCTCTATGAATGTAACGTTTCCAAGAAAATATTAATCATTTTATGTTATTGTTTACCTTTTTCAAGAGGACAAGTTTCCAGAAAGCAACCTGACACTATGTTTGCATCCAGATTCTCTAAAACTGGGGCTAAACAAAGAACCCGGTACGAGTATTATAAACTTTAAAATTCTTCCCCTTTCCGGCCGAACAAACATCATTGAAGAAGTAGTTTTTATCTCAATGATTTAATCTGTGATTTACAGGATACGGATACTAAATAATTCATTACAACTCTCTGCATGTTTGATACATTAAAAGAGGACGTTTCCGAGAGTGTTCGGCGTGGATACTTAGAGGAAGTCCTTAAACGAGATAGTGATACAGAATTTTTCATTAAGTATTTTAAACTTCGCCTTAATTGTTAAGGATATAACTTCCTTGTCAATTCAATTGTCATAAATTAATATATATACATCTATCTATATTTTTAATTAGTTATACCATGTCCATTAAAGTTTATACTAATAGTATAGCCACTATTTATAACGTTTACTATGGAAGGGAATTAGTTTACAACTCACGGTCACTGCTCATAGATGATATTGCCTATTTTGTTATCTTTAAACAGGTGCTTGAATAATGCCCATGATAGCAATAATTTTACAATAATAATAAAATCGGCAAATTAAGAAATTGCTAAACGATGAAGGTGAGGAGGAAATGAATAGGAGGAAAAAGTATTTGGTCTTAATTGATATCCATCTTCCCATGTATATTTCCATGTAGTCCGAAATATTTGACGTTTTCCAGGGCTTTTTCACAATTTTTATGTTTTACGGGCCAATTTTCCTGGCACGTAAAATATCAAAATCGTGAAAAAAAAAGACGTATACGACATTGAAACACTGATGCCCCCGTATGGCAACATGGTTAAATTTTCTCCAATGCAAAGCAAACATGTTGATACTTAAAGTAAGGTCTCCTCACAAAAAAATACAAAAATGTGAAATATAAAATCAAAGCACTACCTGTTCAAAAGTTATGGCAAAGGTTAACGTTTTTAACGTAGGTCAAACTCCGGGGTCCAGGTCAAGGGGTCAAGGTTGTTTGTTTCTAAAGAAGGCGTTGTCACATAGATTATATATGGGAAGTTTATGAAAGCCCTAGTCCTTGCCGTTCAACAGTTATGACCAAGGTTTTTAAAAGTAGGTCCAACCCCAAGGCCAAGATCAAAGGGTAAAAGTTATTGGTATCCAATGAAAGGTCTTATTACAAGGATTATATGAGAAGTACGAAAGCTCTAGCCCTGACAGTTCAAAAGTTAAGAAGAACGAATTTTTGAATTACAGAAAACAAAAAAGATTTCGCGGGCCAAAGCATTTCTTAACATTAAAGGGAGGGGTCTAAAACTAGAAATATACATTGAAGAAAGGAATCAGTGTTATATAGAACAAGATGTGCTTGTGAAACAGTGATGCACCCGTATGACAAGGGTTGAAGTTTCTCAAATGCAAGTCAAACTCGAAGGTCAAAAGGTCAAACTTGTTGGTATCCCCAAAGAAGAGTCTTGTCGCTAGATATCTCGTGAAGCCTGAGAGCTTTTGCAATGACATGTTATAACACACCTCCCAATGGCCTAAGAACCTCCCCCTCCCCTAAATGCTTACATTCTGTGAGAATGTGTGTGTAAAACTTTCATTTCCGAGTGATATCTCAAAGAGCCTTTTAAAACATAACTCGATCCGTATGGCCTCGTCCATCCTTCTTAAGTGCCCTCCCCCCCCCCCCCAAAAAAAAAAATCCGCGCATCCTTCTTTTTTTTTTCCTTCAGCGGGGGACACAGATTCTCTGAATTAGCCTGTTATTATTTAATTGTAATTTTCAAGATATTTTTAAAAAATGTGGTGGCATTCGCTGTCCTTAAATTAACATACCGGTATATGTGTTAATTCATTTGAATACTTAAAGAACATAAAATGTCAAGTACTTCTTGCATTGCGTGAAAAAAGTGCATGTTTTGACAAATCTCCATTTCGTCCAAACACAACTCTTACAGATGAAAATTAGGCAAGTTGAAGGCAAGTGGATGGTTAACAGACTTGTATGGATGCATCACAGTCATGCCCGAGGATCAAGCTGGCGATGAACAACGTACAGCTATACCTTGCTGGTAAATATTTTAATGAAGACTTTTCACTTACACTCCCCGTCTATCAATATAATTGACATTTGCTGCAAGAGCGGGCCCGCGGAGGAAGCAATTTCAGTTCGCGGGTACAGCCATACAATTTCAGTTGGAGGGGCACTACCAAAAATTCGTTGACAAGCGAAAGAAAAAAAAATAACGTTAAAAGGCAATCGCCAATTGCTCATTGCTTACTAGGTATAAATGATATTGCTTGTTTCCCTTTGAAATGCAAGTAAACTGTAAAGGTCAAGAGATGAAAATTGTTGGGAAAAACGAAAAGAAATGACTTATCTCAATGAGTGTACCTGTGAAATATAAAAGTCCAAGCAGCCAGTAATCATTCAAAAGTTATGGTCATGCTAAAAGCTTCTTAAGGATATCCGATCCTCAGCCAGGAAGGATAACTCTTTAATTTATAATTTAATTCAAAAAGTCTCAAAATGAATCTTGATATTGAAATCTTTTCATGCAACAAATTTTATCTTATGTCTCTCAATGTAGTTCAAGTTCTTTTGAAAATACCGGTATTTCACAGAATTTTCTATTTTTTAGCAACCACGGCAATACTCTCCATCGAAATAAAAAACCTATAAAGAGAATTACATGTTGTATCGTAGTGTAGTCTACTTGTGTGCCAAGTTATATTGAAATCAGACTAAAACTGTAAGAGGAGTAGCATTTTGAAAGTATTTCACATGAATTTCTGTTTTTAGTAACAATGGCAACATCGTTCATCAAAACTGAAAACCAATACAAAGAATTATGTATCTTAGTACAGTCTACTTGTGTGCAACGTTATATTGAAATCAGACCAAAACTGTAAGAGTAGCATTTTGAAAGTATTTCACAGATATTTGTATTTTTAGTAACCACGACAACACTGTTCATAGAAATCAAAACCGATATACAGAAATATCTATCTTAGTGTAGCCTACTCGTGTGTTAAGTTTATATATTGAAATCAGACCAAAACTGTAGGAGGAGTGGCATTTAAAAAAATTGTTTACAGACAGACAGACGGACGGACGACGGACGCATTACTATCTCATAAGCTCATCTGGTCTCTGACCAGTAGAGCTAAAAACAAGGTCGAACTATAAGATAAAGGTCAAAAGATAAACAAATATTGATATCCACCAAAGGTATTGTTACAATGAACGCAATACACATACCAGTTAGTATGTGAAGTCTGAAAGACCTAGCACTAACTTTACTGAAGGCCCGTAGCATCAAAGTGTTGGGGTGGGGGTGGGGGGCTGTTCAAGAAATGTTCACATTGAAAGTTCGGTTGGTCCTTTTGGCTGCACAGTATTGTTAAATAAAGGTAACTAAATAAGTAGTAACTAATAGAAAGGTAATGTGGTGTTTGACAGTTTTACTAAATAATTTTGTACTGAACTAAGTTGGACCCCCCTTACCATATTATAACAATTTTCCTTTTTTTCACCAGGTGAGTTGAAATAAATTTCTTTCTCGGTCTGCTCCCCCTTTCAAAAACGATGGATCATCACAACGTCACTGTGTTTGGTAATTTTTGCAAAAGAAGGACAAACTTCAAGGTCAAGAGGTAAAATATGTTGGTCTCAAAGACAGGTCTTGTCACAAGGAATACATATCTGAAAATATGAGAGTCATAGCTCCAACTAATCCAAAACTATGGACAGGGTTAAAGTTTTTTGTGGATTGAACAGACAAACGGACGTACATGGTAAAATGTCTTCGATTACGGGGACATAAACAAACAAGATGTGCTTGTTAAACACTGATGCCCCTGTATGTCAGCTTATAGCGAAGGTTTGAAGTTTCGCAAATGCAAGTCAAATTAACTCCAAGGTCAAGGTCAGAAGGTCAAAATTGTTGGTATCTAAAGAAAAATCTTGTCACAAGGAATAATTTTAAAAGCCTAGTACTAACTGTTCAAAAAATAAGGTTTAAGTTTTTAAAGTGGTTCAAACTTTAAGTTCAAAAGGTAAAAACATATTTTAAAAGATTATACATACGTCAGGCACTATATGTGTCAATATTTCCTAGGTTTGAATAGGTCACAGTAAGCCAGCAAAATTTTGTTCATGCTGATTATCATCGGATTTTTTTATATGCGTTTCAGCAACAACAGTTAGCAGAAAAATAACCATATTGCTGATACAATACAATACATTGATTTATTTATTTCCTTTAGCTTTTTGCTAGCAGCTATTTATTTCACAGTATCTTAACCGCAGATTGGCTGAGAAAATCACGTGATCAATTTGATTGGTAGAGGGGATAAATGGGTCAACTGAGTGGAGTGCTAACCCTCCCAGCCCCCTAACCCTAATAACCCTAATAGCCCTAACCCTAGCTGGCGATGAACAACTAACCCTAACTAACCCTAACCCTAACCCTAACCCTTAACCCTAACTAAAATATTTTAATGAAGACTAACCCTTAACTAACCCTAACTTACACTCCCCGTCTATCTAACCCTAACCTATAATTTACATTGACATTTGCTGACTATACAGGGGCCCGTGTGCAAAAAGGAAGAATGTGATTATTTCACGCTTCAGAGGGTAGACAGCCTATACCAATTTCTGGTTTTACTGAAAGACAAGAACCACCTGGATTTTTTACTGAAAACAAAACACACACGTACAATGACACACAGATTTTTATTCAATTTTTATTCACAAAAAAAAATAACGTTAACAATTTAAGGCAATCAAAAATACCCTCCAATTAATCTCATTGCTTACTCCAGGTATAAACTTGATATCATCATCATTGTCCTCCAAGGAATACCTTTTTCTTTAAGGAAATGCACTGTGTAAAGTACCTAGATGCGGTCTTTTTAAGGCTTTTCCTTCTTTCTTGTACAGAAGTAAATGTTCAATACAATTGTAAATCGGGGAAGTATATAGTTTCAACGAAAACCATTAAATCACCTCTATCTCCCATTTGTAGTGTAACCCCTCCCTGAGCAGTGCTTCCTTATCAGCATAATTTTCAGGAAATTTCATTCAAAAGTTATTGTCATAGTTTCTTAAACTTTTTCTTTAAGGATATCACGATCCTCAAGCCAGTTTTTGAAGGATAAC